TCCCCCAAGTCTGTACAGGTGTGTCTCCTAAGCAACTCGGCCTTCACTCAGGTCAGTGCGACTCTGTCAGGAGTAGCAAAGATAAGATCATCTACGTACACTAGGATGTAGAACGGTGTCTGGCCTGTGCGAACAAAGAGAGAGGGGTCAGCAGGGGACGGGAAGAACTGCAGCTCAACAAGAGTGGTGCAAAGCGTGTCATGCCACTCACGGGGTGCCTGACGAAGGTCGTATATAGGACAGTGCAAGCTTTACTCGGTCCTAGGTGAGAAGGACCCAGAGAAGCCTAGAGGGAGTCGGAGGTAGATCTGCACGTGCAGACAACCCTGCAAAAACGTTGTGGAGAAGTCGAGTGAGTGAAGCTCGTAGTGATGCTACGCGGCTATGTGAAGAAGGACCCGAACGGTAGTCATCTTAGGGGTCGGGGAGAAGGTCTGGAAGAAGTCCACACCCTCACGCTGATTGAAGAGCCACTTAACGCGCCTTGAATTTCGGCGGCTCTCCAGGTGCGCGCTTCACTCTGTAGATCCACATACCATCGACTACATTCGCCCCAGGCGGGGGAACTGCATCGACGTGAGCGCCTCAGGATCTGTAGGATGCCATCTCAACCTCCATGGTCTGTATCTACTGGGCTGCCCAGGGCCCCGACACCGTCTCAGCATAAGAGCGCGGAACACGGATGTCGAGAGCGCCTGGGTCGCCCTCTGGGGATACAAGCATAAAGCAGAGATGGGGAACAGCAGCAGCAAGGAAGGCCAACTCGTACTGCCAGTCCTCTAGCACGTCACTGCCAAGGGCAGGTGCACCCCCGACGGACGGAGGACGGGCAGTACCAGAGACCAGAGCGGCAGCGTAGTCAAGGCGGTGGCTAGTAGCAAAGTCCGCGATTGCAGCGACAAGCGCAGAGACAGACTCAGGAGGAGCAGTAGGGTCAGTGACAAGCGACGCAAGCATGCACGAGAGAAGTGGACGAGCAGTGCAAGCAGCATCAGAGCGAGGAGGGGGGGACGACGGGAGCGACGACGGGGGAGGCAACTAGAGGACTATGACAGGAGGAGCACGCAAACGAAGGACCATAAGGTGGACACTAGGACGGGGAGAGACAGGAAGAGCATCAGAGGGGAGACGGATCCAGTGGGGAAGAACTGGGGACTGGGGATGAGGGGGAACATGGAACAAGTCAGGGGACGGAGGGGAGCGCTGGGGAAAATGAGCCAGAGAGGAGTCTGGAGGAGGAAACAACGGGCCGTAAATAGGGTTACTCACCGGAGGGGGAACGGGTGTGCGGACAGGGGGACCTGGAGCAAGACCAAGGAGATGAAGGGCAGACTGCGGCGGCTCCTGCTGCGGTGGTTGCGGCTGCAACTACGCCCTGTCCTTTATAGGACCTCCAGCGGCATCGCTGCTGCCACAGGCACGCCGCGAAACAGCACCCCCAAGACTAGCACCCTCGGACGCACCACCCAAAGAACCAACACCCCCGGAGTCAGCACCCCCAGAACTCGCACCCCTAGAATCAGCACCCCCACAGTCAGCACTCCCAACACCAACTCCACCAACACCAGCACCCCCAGAACAAGCACCCCCAGAGCCCACTGCTCCCTGCTGCTACTATTGCGGCCGAGGAGTCTGTTGCGGCGACGGCTGTTGCGGCTAAGGCAAGGGAGGAGGCGAATGAGGTGCCTGTGGTAGCGAGGCTGGGGGAGGCGCCACATGGACAGCAGGTGCACCCCCAGCAGCTGGGCCCCAAGAGTCAGCTGACTCCCCCACAGGCGCAAGCGAGGGGAACTGAGTGCCGTGGGAGACACAAGACTGGGCCGGGCGGGGCGGGAGGGGTGCGGCAGGCGGGGCAGGGAGAAGGAAGAGAGGAGGAGGCACAGGAGCGCTGCAGTGCGGGTAGCGCTGGTATTAGGGGAGCATCTCGTTGAAGGTAACGTCACAAGAGTGGTAAAAGCGGTGGTGTGACGAGTGGTAGAACAGCCAATCAGAGGGTCGGCGAAACCTGTGGCCGATGGGAGCGCGACCATAGGTTAAGCTGGTGAGCAGTGTAGCGCATGGCGAACGACCACAGAAAATGGGGTGCACCAGCGTGGACCATGGAGGTGCGAGCTACCTTCATTATCAGGCAGATGCGTCGCTCAGCGATCCCATTCCGCTGTGGGGAGTCCGGCAGTGTGTATGGCTGGCGGATGCCTTCTGCATGACAGAACTGTCATAGAGTTCCAGAGGCGAACTCGCCACCACGGTCAGAGTGTAACCGACCTACAGGCAGGCGGTGGTGGGTGCGAATAGTAAGAAGCCACGAGAGGAAAACGATAGGCACGTTGGCCTTCCGCTCCAACACGAACACTGCGGAGAAGCGAGGGAAGTCGTGAACGACGACTAGAAAGTAGCGCTCCCGACTAAGACCATGGACCCGGGCAGAGCTCCAGACGTCCATATGCAGCGCCTGTAGCGGCGATATGGTAGGAGGAAACGAGGAGGAGTGAGGGGCGGCGCGCTGCCGGACCTCGACGCAGTACGTGCACAGTGGCGCTACCGATGTAGGTAGGGCGCGAAGCGATGCAGGGAGACCAATGACTACACCGGGCTGGGACATGTGCCTAAGACGCAGGAGTGCAAGGTGACCTAAGCGGTGGTGCCACAGAAGGGTCGGGTGGGCTATGGAGCGACAAGAGCAGGATGCGGCAACCGCGGCAGACGGAGCAGTTGGCAGGGACTCAGTGTACAGTGTAAAGAGACCTGACCCTCGATCACGCTCAAACGTGGCTAAGTGCCGCCCGGTGGCTGTGTCTGTGCAAGCGACGTGTCTCTCGCAGTCAGGGAACGTAGTGGTGACGTCTCGGTCCTGAAGGTGACCGACACCCATTAGGTTTCTGGCAAACGAGGGGATGTGCAAACCGGTGAGGAAGCCGGAGGGGACAGCGGGAGAAGGGAGAGTGGTGGTGCTACATGCGACAGCTGTGGTGGAGGAGTCTGCTAGTGCGACGCGGACAGGAGCAGGAAGCGGGGTGAGAGCAGTACTGTCTTTAAAGAAGCAACAAGATGTCCTCGAGTCAAGGATAAAGGAGAGGGCCGCCTCAGGAGGGGCAGGGGAGGAGCCTAGTGGACACGTAGTAGAGGCTCCTAGACTATACACAGTGGTGGGACCTATTCCCCTAGGCCCCAAGGTCCTCGGTCCTCCAGAGAAACCACACTGGCCCCAGGGTAGTGACCGCCTCGAGGCCGCACCTCCAGAGCCTCCACCTTGCCCAGCACCTCCAGGAATCCACTGCAGCTGCTGCGGCTGTGGCACTGGCCAGAGAGCCCGAAAGCAGATGTCGAGGTCGTGGAGCCACAAGCGAATGAGGTAACTAATGTGATCCTCTATGAGCGTGCAGTCTAGGTGCAGGCTCACCAGCTGTAGACGGTGAGCAAGAAATTGGAGAGCGGAGGGAAGTGCCCGGCGGTCTGGCCGAGGGACTGACCTGAACGAGGCCATCATGCCGAGTGGAGAGGCATCGAGGAACTCTAGAATCGATGAGGAGACTAGCGGGAGGCACTAGGTGCTAGAGGAGTACAATCGGAGGTAGTAGCAGTGGCGACTATGGCCAGAGCAGTGGCAGTGAGCACGAGGCTGGTAGCAGCAGCGACTAGTGACAAAAAGATGGCAGTAGCGGCTAGCTGGCGGCTGGCGGTAGGCTAGGAGCTGCTAGGAGGAGTGGGGAGCAAACGAGGAGGAAGTGCGCGCAAGAGGATCTACTAGGAGCAGTATGCCAAGGAGCTAGCTAGGAGGCACTAGGACTAGCGACACAGTATATAGGACAGTCCGCAGGGCACGGGGGACTCACATGGCAGGCAGCCGACTGGCGACTGGCGGCCGACTGCCGCTGGTGACTACCGCTAGCGGCTGGTGGGCAGCAGCTGGCTGCAAGTGGTGGCAGCGGCGGCTGACGGCTGAGGGTCGGCGGTTGGCTGCTGGTGGGTGGTGACTGGTGCTGGCGGCTGGTGGCTGGCTCTTGAAGGCTGAAGCTGGCGGTGGGCAACAGCAGTGGCGACAGAAGTAGCAGCGGCGGCTGTAGCGGCAACGGCTACGGTAGTGAAGGCAGAAGCTGACTGTGGGCAACAGCAGTGGTGACAGGAGTAGCAGTGGCTGCTGCAGAGGCAGCGGCGGCTGTGGCGGCACCGGCAGCAGTGGCTGCAGTAGTGGCGGCTGCAACGACAGTGGGCAGCAGTAGGTGGCAGTGGGCAGAAGTAGTTGCGGTAGTGGCAGTGGGTGGCAGCAGCCGGCGCTGGCTGTTGGCTGCTGGCATCTTGTGCTGCTGGCTGCTGGCACTGGCTGGTGTTGGCGAGCTAGCTGGTGCTGGTTGCTTGCGCTGGCAAGCTGGTGCTGGCTGCTGGCGCTGGCTGCTGGCGCTGCAGGCAAGCAGGCAAGAAGGCGAGCTGGTGAGCAAATGAGCGGGCAAGCAGGCGAGCAAGCGCGCTAGCAAGCAGGCAGGCTGGCGGGCTGGCAAGCTAGCCAGCTGGCGAGCAGGCGGGCTGGCGAGTAGGCGGGCTGGCGGGCAGGCGAGCAAGCGAGAAGGCGGGCGGGCGAGCAAGCAAGCAAGCGGGCTGGCGAGCAGGCGGGCTGGCGAGCAGGCGGGCGAGCAAACGATCAGGCGGGCGGGCGGGCGACCGTGCGAGCTGGCGAGCACGCGGGCTGTGTGAGAGTACGACCCCGTTACGCCAATTTCCCTTTTCATATCTCCTTTCTATCTCATTCCATTTGGTTTCCTATTCCTCATTTTCCATCATCCTTTGGTTTATCCTCTTATTATAATTATATCACCGACCAGGCTCGGGATGTACTGGCGCGCTATATCTAGCGTAATCCTGCTGTAATCCCTTAAAGCCAATAGCCTCGCGTGGCTATACGCAGGGTGATTCTATTTCTAGAAGGGTCTGTTCCCTTCAGATATGATAAACCTGGTTACCTGATGTACTGTGGAAGTATAAAAGCGCCTTGTATCAATCGATAGTACAACTTTTCCCCGACACATTCGATCCACAAAACTGCCTTCCGAACTTGGTACGGATCGTACGAGTATCTGGTAATGCCGTTCGGACTCACCAACGCACCGGCAACGTTCCAAGCCAAAATGAACCACGTTCTACGCCCACTTTTGGATAAGTGCATGGTGGTGTATCTGGACGACATCCTCATCTACTCGCGCGACATGAAGCAGCACGTCGAATACCTGCGACACGTCTTCGAAATTCTTCGACGAGAGCGATTCTACGTCAAGTTGTCCAAGAGCGACTTCGCCCTGGAGAAAGTCCAATTCCTAGGACACATGGCGAGCGCTCAAGGAGTTCACGTCGACCCCAAGAAAATCGAAGCCGTACGTACGTGGAAGACACCCGAGAACGTGAAGGATTTGCAGCAGTTCCTAGGCTTCGCTAACTACTACAACAGATTCGTGTGACAGTACGCAAAAATCACACACCACTCACGAATCTACTGAAAAAGAACACGCCCTATAAATGGGGACCAAAACATCAGGAAGCCATGGAGCAGCTGAAACAAGCACTCACGTCCGCGCCTGTACTCATCTTGCCAGACCCCGAACGCGACTACGTCATCGAAGCTGACGCTAGTCACCAAGCAGTGGGAGCAGTCTTGATGCAAGATCTAGGAAACGGACTGCAACCAATCGCCTACCTCAAAAAGAAACTACACAGGGCAGAACTCAATTACCCGATACACGACAAGGAGGCCCTTGCTATTATCATCACCTTCAAAACGTGGAGATGTTACCTCGAAGGACGGAAAACAACTGTCTACACCGACCACTGCAGCCTAGAATATTTGAAGACCCAGCCAACCCTCTCCAGGCAGCAGGTCTGGTGGATTGACTTCCTCGAGACACACTTCCACTATAGCATCGTGTACAAGCCCGGCCATAGAAACAAAGCAGACGCCCTTAGCCGGCCTGCACATGTTGCCGCCATCCAGATCGAAGGGATGAATCCACTCCTCAAGGGACTCTTCACACACGGGTATACCATCGACCCCGAAATTTCCTTGGCAGAAAAGCGACATCTGCTACAGTGGGACAGTGACATCGCGTACCGGAAGGGATCAACGAAAATCTGGGTACCCAATTACCCTCCTTTGTGCCAGTTACTACTCGAAGAATACCACGATGTCCTATACAGAGGACACTTCGGTAGCAACAAGACACTCGCCGGTATGGCGAAGCACTACTACTTGGCCCACCTGGCAAACGATGTCCATAAATTCATCACCTCGTGTGATACATGTCAGCGGATGAAGAGCAGCAAGCAGAAGAAGGCGGGACTGCTACAGCCTCTTCCTGTCCCAGAACAACCATGGCAAGTGGTTAGCCTGGATTTCATCACCGGGTTACCACCTACCACAAGCGGTCATGACGCAATTCTCGTCGTCATCGACAAATTCTCCAAAATGGGACACTTCATTCCGACACACACAACATCACGCACCAAAGAGACAGCACAACTATTCGTGTGCGACATTATCTCACAACATGGCATTCCAACTACACTCATCTCCGACCGAGACCCCAAGTTTACCAGCAAGTTCTGGAAGGAACTCATGTCTCTGCTCGGGACCAAACTTGCCATGTCATCCGCCTACCATCCACAGACAGATGGACAGACCGAGCGCCTCAACCAAATTGTCGAGCAACTCCTCCGAGCAGCCTACAAAGACGAGATCTCCAAATGGGACTTGCACCTGCCCGTACTAGAGTTTGCTTACAATAAGATACTTATGTCGCTACTGGACCGACGTCATTCTTCCTCTGCTATGGACGCCACCCACTCATGCCACAAAAACCGACAGCATCAGCTATAGTCCAACATGCACACAACTTCATCACGACCATGCATCAGCTTTGGGATCGGACCCACAAGCGCCTCCTCGACATCCTGCAGCAACAGAAGCGCCAGGCCGATCGCCATCGCAATGATCACACCATCACCGTGGGAGACCAGGTGCTCCTCGACACCCGCAACCTTGACATTCGCCATCTCCCATCCAAACTTCGACCTCGCTTCTGCGGGCCTTTCCTCGTTGACGCACAGGTCACTCCTTTTACCTTCCGCTTATGCCTACCAGCCACCTGGAAGATTCACAACGCCTTCCATGTCCAGCTTTTAAAGCCCTACCGCGATCCCAACACGGTCTTCACCGGACGCCGACCGTCACCGCCGCCGCCCGTCCTCGTCTCCGATGAAACTGAAAACGGGATCGAGACTGTGCTCCCACACCGCCGTCGTCGGAATGGTATCGTGGAGCTTCTCATTCGTTGGAAGGGTTATGATCCTTCTAAGATACCTGGGTCCCCGAATCCGACATGGGTAACGCCCGTCGTCCTCTTCGTGACTACCTTGTCAAGCAGGGTGTTACTTCTACCATCCAGCTTTGAGTGTCTGAGTACGACCCCGTTACGCTAATTTCCCTTTTCATATCTCTTTTCTATCTCATTCCATTTGGTTTCCTATTCCTCATTTTCCATCATCCTTTGATTTATCCTCTTATTATAATTATATCACCGACCAGGCTCAGGATGTACTGGCGCGCTATATCTAGCGTAATCCTGCTATAATCCCTTAAAGCCAATAGCCTCGAGTGGTTATACGCAGGGTGATTCTATTTCCAGAAGGGTCTATTTCCTTCAGATAGGATAAACCTGGTTACCTGATGTACGGTGGAAGTATAAAAGCGCCTTGTATCAATCGATAGTACAACTTTTCCTCGACACATTCGATCCTGTGACAGGCTGGCGGGATGGCGGGCTGTGGGACGGCTACGAACTAAGGCGCTGGCGGGCGCGGGCCAGCGGTGGCTGACGTGAACTACGCGAAAAAGAGGAGAGGGCGGGGACGGGACGAGCTACCAGGCGCGCAATTAGGGCCAAGGCGCACTAGGCTAGGGTGTGCTAGGGCGGAAGCGTGAGTAGAGGGCGAGACCTAGCTCTAGATGCCATGTTAGATTGTCGAGAGAATGATGAGCTAAGGGAAAATGTCGAGGGTTACAAAGATAGGAGTGTACCCTCTAAGAACTGACCTAACTAAGGCTATAACAAATATAAACTAGCTAGCCTGGATAATTATATTTGTTGACAGAAACGTCATCTTTCTAATCTAACGCATTACAAGCAATTCTCAAACATGGACATTAGCGTGGTTTTCTGACCTGAACGGTGGGTGGCTTGTTTTCAGTATTTTTGCGGTGACACATTGGCACATTGCCAGCCAGGAATACACATTAGAATTTGTTTCGGCACATCTCGCTTCAACCCGCCCTGACGTGCAATATACTTATTATTCCCTATATATTGTAAACAAATTTGCCTGACAATCTAAATCGTTTTTATACCTTCAAAAAACCAGCTCACCCTCACAAAGCGTCTAGCATGCAACGGGCACCGATTTTGGCTAAGGGCCAATCAGCACCCTCATACTGTACGTCCTCAGGGCGTGATTGACGGGGGATTGCGTGTCAATGTGCGGTAATCACACAAAGGACCCCCGAAACACAGTATACTCGGTTTCAGACTCCCTCCCGAAGATCTCGCTGAAACCCCAGCCATCACCCCAACAAAAACTATGAAATCATTGTTGAAGTAGCTAAGGGTAGGTTTTGGCGGGTAGGAGAGAAATAGCGAGAGAAAAGGGGTTTGACTAGGAGATAGAGAAAGGTACAAGAAGTGGGTTGTACCCTCTACAGTAGGATCCAATCATTTGTAGAACACCTACCAAGCCTACACAAGTATATATAAATAATATATAAGTTGACACATCCCCTAGGCTTGGTAGGCGTTAGCACACCACACACGCAACACCCCCAAGCCCTTGCACCCCCATGTCCTGCAGCAGCTGTGGCTTCTACCCCTCGGCGTGCGAGACGGCGATGTCGGCAGCGAGTGGCAGCAACGGTGTCAGCGGCAGCTACCACGACGACAGCGGCGGCGGCGGTGGTGGGTGGCGGCGGAGTCAGATGCACCTGCAGCGGCGGCGGCGGCTTTGACGACGGCGGCGGCGACTGCGAAGCCCGCGGCACTCGGCGGCGTGGCACGGCCCGGTGACAACGGGGAAGGGAGTCATCAGCTGCGGTTGGGATGAGAGGAGACGCAGGGGAGGGGGCGTGTCTTCAGCGACGCGCCCAGGCTGGCGTGCGGGCGTGTTGGCTGGTGCCTAAAACAGTGCGCGGGCCGCTGCCGTCCGTGCGCTGGCGCATCGAAGCCGCCACGGTAGCACGATGACGCCACAGCAGCACGATGAGGCCGCTGCGGCAGCGCAGCGAGGTCGCCACGACTGTTCGACGAGGCCGCCACGCGTCGAGGCCGCCATGGAAGCAGGTCGTGGCCGCCACGGCAGCACGTCGAGGCCGCCACGGCAGCACATGGAGGCCGCCACGGCGGCGCGAAAGTGAGAGGAGAGGAGAGAGTACGCGACGGAAGCATGAATAGGAGGCTCGGCAGGATCATCCTATTCTGAAACCATGTTAGAAGGAGGTTTGACTAGGAGAGAGAGAGAGGTACAAGAAGTGGGTTGAACTCTCTACAGTAGGATCCAGTCATTTGTAGAACACCTACCAGGCCTACACAACTATATTAAAATAATATATAAGTTGACAATCATCGGCAACGCTATTTAAAAAAGTCTGATTTTGTCAGCCTCACCTTTCACAAAAAGGCTTACAGTTCAGCATGGGTACCAAAAAAAAGGCTGAAAAAAGGCTGAATCAGCGTAAAAAGGCTGATATCTAGGGGCCTGAATAACAACTGTTATAGAGCTAGCTAGAACCAGAAGTTTTCGAGTATAAAATTCCACTTTTACTGGTATTTCAACTGATACGCAGATGTACATGCATACAGATTTACACGTCTAGGAACTAAAAAGGTTGCAAAGCACCGCCATCTAGCCTACCGGTAGTTATACTCTTTCCACTACAAAAACCTATACACACAAACCTCCCCTTCCGCACAGGGGAGGTCTGGTATCTCAGAGGAAAATAAAACAAGATCCGATAGCTGAAGAAGAGACCATGCATGAGGTGAGGAGTCTCTTTTTTTTAGGCGCCTTCAAAGAGAACTCCCCCTACTGGCGCACAAGGGAGGTCTGGTACCTCAGAGCGAAATAGAACAAGATCCGATAGCCGACGAAGAAAGAGACCATGATCACTGCAGACTCCCAGAACCTGCTACTATCTGCCATATCGAATCGCGCAATAACGCTGTCGGAAATCACTACACAGGGCGAGGTGGGGTCGCTCTTAACAAGGTACTCCCAGCAGACGGAGGGCAGAGAGCCATACTCGTTAAGAGTGAGCATCTCAAGAGGGTATTTGAAGGTAGAGAGGTAGTTCATCCAGATCCAATAGGGAGGGATGTTGGCCCTGAGTGGGAGGGCGGGAGGATGGGGGGAGATGGGGGGAGATGGGGGGAGATGGGGGTAGAGCGGATTTGAGGGGTGGCGAGGAGGGGACTGCAGGGAGGCATAAGGGAGCCTTGCTGGTTAAGAGGAAGCATCTCAAGAGGGTACTTGAAGGTAGAAAGACGGTTCATCCAGATCCAGTAGGGGGGGATGTTGGCCCTGAGTGGGGGTAAGGGAACAGTGGGAATGAGAGGGGAAGACTGCTTTTGAGCCGACTCAAAAGCAGAAGGGAGGGGTGTTGCCCTGAGTGGGGGTAAGGGAACAGTTGGAATGGGAGGGGAAGAAGGGAGGAAGGTGGTTGGGGAGGAGGTCACGAGGGTGGTGGGGAGGAGCGCCATTAACATGTAAGCATCTCTGGAGGGTATTTGAAGGTGGAGAGGTGGTTCATCCAAATCCAATGGGGAGGGATGTTGGCCCTAAGTGGGAGGAAACAAAGGGGAGGAGGACTAAGGGATGGAAAGGAATAGGAGGGAGGGTTAGATTAGTGGAGCCACATGGATAAAAGGAGGGAGGAAAGCAGCATGGGGCAGAGAAGGACAGTTGGCTCAGAATAAAAGAAAAGGAAGAGGGCAAGGAAGGAGGAGAAGGGGAGAAGTGAGGGCCAAAATAAAGTGTTGGAGGTATGCTAAGATGGAAAGGGAGCGGAGGGAGCGGAAGGAGCGGAAGGAACGGAAGGAAGAGGACAGGACAGGATGGGCAGGAGAGGAGGGAAACAGAGAAGGACTGAGTGGCCAATAGGAAAAAAAAGCATACTGCCACCGATCCCTGTGCACTGCTTACTTGGAAATAAAGAAGCCACTAAAGAGGAAAAAGAACACAATATCGTGAACCACCGTATCCCCCGTGAACACAATAACGATCCCTGTGACAACCGTATTCCCGGTGATGTAATTCGGCACGAACGCTGCAAAGAACACCACGAAAGAATTCCTCACCGCCAGTGACATGAACACAAAAGGACAGCATAAATGCACATGCCATACCATGCAATGCCATACCAATCATGTGCCCAGCCCATCCCAGCCCCCCTCTTACTTGGAAATGAAGAAGCCACTAAAGAGGAAAAAGAACGCGGTAATCGCCGTGACCACCGTATTCCCGGTGATGTAATTCGGCACGAACGCCGCAAAGAACACCACGAACGAATTCCCCACCGCCAGCGTCAGAAACATCGTCGCGACAAACCGGAAAAACGCCGTCGCCGTCGCAGCAAGCCCCACCATGAAGTACGCAACGCAGGAGAAGAGCAGCGAGAGCAGGAACAGGAACGGCAGGAAGACCAGAGCCCCCGCGAGCACATACGACGCCGTGCGGTACGCGCCGCGCGACGTCTCCCGGATGTAAATCTGCCTCTCGTCGAGGAAAATCGGGAGGCCTTCAGTGGAGGTGAAGAGGAGGAGGGCTAGAGCGAAGGCGAAGAAGGACGCGCGGTTGGTGATTCCTTCGGCGTCGTAGCCGGACTTGAGAAAGAGTGAGCCAAGGATGAGTCCAGTTACCACCATGAGACCGATACGGGCGAGGAAGAGCTCCGGGGTTCGGAAGATGTTTTTGAAGTTGCGGTCGGCGAGAGTTAGGGTTTCGTGGAGGAAGGGTGTTGCAAAGGTGCGGGGAGGGGGGGAGGTGTGGTGGTGCGCGCCGAGGGTGCTGTGCGTTCCCAGAGACTTCTCGTGCTCGTAGCGCGCCCTCTAATAAGGGGAAGAGGGGATGAAAAGGGGGGCGGAAAAGGGGTAGATGGGAAGGTATATGATGGGAAGAAGACACGAGCAGAGGCAGGGTGATAGGAGTCTAGTTTTGAGGCGCCTCAAAACTAGAGTCCTATCACGCAGTTTTTGTACAGACACGAGCAGAGGCAGGGGGGTGGTTTCGTGGAGAAAAGGTATTGGCAAAGGTGCGGGGAGGGGGGGACGCATGGTGGTGCGCGCCGAGGGTGCTGTGCGTTCCCAGGGAATTCTCGTGCTTGTAACGCACCCTCTGTTGCGAAAGGGAGGGGAAGAATACAGAGGTACGACAGGGAAGTGTGGTGGATGGATGGAATGAGCCATGAATTTGCATGACATGATGGGGTGAGTAATAAGTCGATTTTTTAGTCGACACAAAAATCAACTCATTACACACGGGAAGTGTGGTGGATGGAATGAGCCATGAATTTGCATGACATGATGGGGTGAGCCAAGACTATGCATGCCATGGAGGGATGAGCCATGACTCAGCATGCCACGGAGGGATGAGCCATGACTCAGCATGCCATGGAGGGATGAGCCATGACTCAGCATGCCACGGAGGGATGAGCCATGACTCAGCGTGAGCCATGATGTTTCCTGCATGGCATGATGGGATGAGCCATGAATCTGCATGCCACAAAGGGATGAGCCATGATGACTCCTGCATGCCATGATGTGCTGCCAGGTGGCCGCACTTACACTGACAAATCAGCTCATCCAACCCTCTCCTTCTGCCGCTCCTCTTCACTCATGTCAATCCCAATGCCATGATGGGTTGAGCATGGATCCCCATGCCATGTCATGGCATTGCACTCACACTGAATCGAATCAGCTCGTCCAGCCCCCTCTCCTTCTGCTGCGCCTCCGCAATCATGTCAAGCACCTACTCCAGGGCGTTCGCCAGAAAAAGAGCGTGAACAGCGCATGAAACCCCACGCCATCCCATGCCACTGCACTCACACTGAATCGGACGAGCTCGTCCAGCCCTCTCTCCTTCTGCTGCTCTTCCTCAATCATGTCCAACGCATACTCCAGGGCGTTCACCTAACAAGGCATGATCAGCACATGAGGGAGACGCAAGGGCACCATGAGACGTGAACAGGTGAGACGGTGGAGGTGACACAGACGAAAGGGCAGGCCTGACCTTCAGTATCCAGTTGTACTCACGTGTTCAGGCACCTCTGTGCCAAAGTCTTCAAAGAATTTCAGCATCCCTGGATACGACCCGTGGTACACCGCAGAACCCTTCGCCAGCACCAGGAAATTGTGAATCAGGTCCAAAATCCTGAAGGACGGCTGGTGAATGGTGAGAATAATCGTGCGGCGCCGGTGCGTCGCAATATCATGCAAACTTTGCATAACGTTTAACGCAGCTGTAGAATCCAACCCTGAAGTGGGTTCGTCCAAAAAGAGTACAGCAGGGTCGTGTATCAAATCCACGCCTATCGAAACCCTTCGACGCTCGCCACCCGAAACTCCGCGAACTTCGGCGTTCCCGATAATTGTGTTCGCGCATGTCGTCAATCCCAATTCGTCGATCAGATCCGAAACGCGTTCCTTTTTATCGGCGAGCGACATCGTCGCAGGAAGTCGCAGGCGCGCGGAAAACATCAGCGTTTCGCGAACAGACAGCATCGGGAAAAGCTGATCGTCTTGCATCACGTAGCCGGACACGCGTTTGAACGACGATGCTACCGGCTTGCCGTTAACCAGGATTTCGCCGTCCAGCGAGGATTGGCTGATCCGCCCCGCGATCGCGTCGAGAAACGTCGATTTTCCCGCGCCCGACGGGCCGACGACCGCCATCATCTCGCCATGGCGTGCCTTGGCGTTGACCTTGTTGAGCAGAATCATCTCCTGCGTATTACTACCGACGTTCTTGACGACCTAGAAAACAGCGAGTAGAGAAGGGGGAGGGGGAGAGGGAGGGGGAGGGATGGGGTGAAAAGAAGGGGGGGGAGGAGGGAAAGGCGGGGGGTTGGGGTTGTACTGAAAATAAACGAGGAACGTCGATATTCCCAGGCCTGACGGGCCGACGACCGCCATCATCTGGCCATGGTGTGCTTTCGCGTTGTCCTTGTTTAGAAGAATCATCTCCTGCGTGCTGTTACCCACGTTCTTGACGACCTAGAAAACAGTGAGACGAGAAGAGGGAGCGGAAGGGGGACGGGGAGGGAGAATGAGGAGAAGGAAGCCGGGGAAGGGGAAGGGGGAGGGGGAGGGGGGGGGAAGGGAGAGGGGGGGGGGAGGACTTGATTTGGTGGAAAGATTGTTGTACTAGAGACATAGTCGGAGGGAAGTGAGAGGCTGACGGAATAATACAGGAGCAGCAAGCCCACCTTGTAGGACAAGTCCACGACGGGTGAGGTCGTACGCGACTTTGGGCGCACCGCACAACGCAAGACGGAGGGAAGTGAGGGTGCTGAAGAATAGATACGCGGAGAAACGAGCCGCAAGCACACCTTGTAGGACAAATCCACGACGGTGAGGTCGTACGCGGAGTGATCGAGCGCGTGCTTCGCGAAGCCGCTCTTGCCAGCAGCGAACTCGTTGAAAGACGAAACCACGCCGCCATCACTGCCGCTGCTGCCGCTGCTGCTGTTGTTGCGGCCGCTGCTGCCGCTGCTGCTGTCGTTGCTGCCGCTGCTGCCGTTCCTGGTTCCAAGGTCGACTACAGTGAAGCCTTCTGTGGGCTCCAGCGCTTCACCCGCCGCGAATCCCGCCTCGACGTCCGCTGCCTCCCCCATGTTAACAGCCACAGGCTTGTAACAACCCGTTACAGGAAAACTCGCAGGCCGCGTGATACTCAGTAACCTCACAACCTACAAGACCGCGCGACTAGAAAAAGCACTTCTCGGAAGCAGCAGCAGCAACGCCGGGAGGGGTGATTAACACCCAGTCTACCAACCTAGGGATGCTGGTAGCTGGAGGGAGCGGCAATAGCCGTGATTGACTCTGGTAAAGGCTACCTCACCGCGGATATAATCTCGGAAGGACACCCTTGCAAATAGCACCTCTCAGCGGCCACTCTTCAAGCGGCTCTAGGCACTAAAGCTCGCGTGTTGCAAGTCGACGCAACGCCCGCAGCAGTTGCCGCCACTAGATAACGGTGCGCTCCGGATATAGCTCATAGAGAGTGTCAGAGAATGTCAGAATGGAGACGCGTGCCGAAGAACCTTCTGTGACTGCTCGTTGGCGCTCTCCGCGAGATAGACGGAACGTCTCGAGAGATCGGCTGGAGAGCTCGTCTCGAGCACACTACGCGAGGGCTCGTGACTGACCCAAGACTGGCAAGACACCAACGGGGTACTGGAGTGTCGCGCAACAATACAGTACACCCAACAAAGAGCGGCTCCGCGGAATCTGTCCGTACTAAGGCGCCGCTCGAGTCGAGTGCTCTCTTTCTCTCTCTCTGCATGGCGCTTGCCTCAGCAGCCTTGCGCCGCGCGTTGCGTTAGAAACTCGACGGATTCGACGTTGAAAGGGGACTCCGCCACATGGGTCAACCTACGTTGAAGGCGCGACGGCGATTCCCCCGCGACGAAAATTCCACCCGCGACGGACCAAGGGGCTGCACTTGGACGGGCCGTGACATCTCTATTTCGCACATTCTGTGTTACGCCGAGAGCAAGTCGAGGGAGATCGAAAAGCGGGGTAGTCGAGGGAAGAGGGGGGGGGGGGGTGGGGGGAGGGGGGAGAGAGGGGAGGGAGGCAGGAGCCGACGAGGCGAGGAAAACACGAGGCGAGGAACGAGGTGTGAAATCGACGGTGCGAGGCGAATCGGGGCCGAAAGGCCAGTCTGGAATCACGTGGGGGAGACGTCAAGATCGGCTGGACCGAGGACAGCAGGCGATGGCACCAGAGCACCACAGGTACAGGTGGAGTGCGGCGGGGAGACGTTTCCGAGGGGAGACGTTTCCGAGGCGGATAAGACTGCGCGCCAGGAGCGTGCGCGGACTATATCTGTCAACATCACGGTTATGAGCCGTAAGCCCGCCATGCTGGGGCTTCGGCTGGGCCGTAACGCCGTTCACACACGATTCGCCTGCGCTTCGTCCGAACACCAATGATCGCCGTCGAAGTTGCGGGATTTGCGGGGAAGGGCAGAGGAGCGGGTGAGAGGTAGCCTAAACTCGCTTCCCTGCTACCCATCACAACACGGCCTAGTGACGTCGACTCGAGACCCGCGGCGTCATGTCCTGTCATCCAGCCAAGGAAGCCATATCGAACACATCTAGTCTAGACCCTGGAATCCTAGAATGCAGGGTCCAGGGATTGGTGAATACAGTCACAAATATGGGTGGTCAAAAGGGATCAACGAATCTACTAGTCTATGTAACATTTTCGTCAGGCTTCGCGAGCTCGAGGAGCCCTTTCTCACCCTCAAGTCGGGGCGAGGGTGGCCTTCTGCATGTGGTGAGAAAAATCAAGAGCAGCCGTTTCTTCTGATTGGCTGAACGTCCCAACCACCCCACCCCACGACAGTCTATATACAGGATACACCCCAATGCCGACTGTTATGAGTGGGAATGGAACAGCCACTCAATAATGGGAATAGAACCTCAGCAAATCATGTGTCTACAAGTGACGAGCGAACTGGCTAAAATAGGGCACGGACGTGCTAGGACGAGCTAGGGCGAGGACCTCGGGACGTGAATGGTTTGGTTGGGTGTCGAGGGTGTCGGAACGCGACTCGGGGAGGTTTGGGCCGACAATAATGGCTGAACCTGCGAGTTCGAGGTCTTCGGGTGTACGCGCTGTAGTTCAGCGCAGTAAGGAATGTTAATTCCTTACACCGACGGGACCAAGAAAGGAACTGCAGGCCGAAAACCTGGAAACGCTAGCAGAAATGTGTGATTGCATTTTGACTCTTTTTTTATAGCTGCGCCTTCCGTTATATGCATTCACTCGTAAAGCTTGTACCGGAGCAACGCGTTACGAGTCCGTAAGGCGCTCAGTCAAATCAACCAGATTTTTCCCGTTGATCCCGCGTTTCGCGCTATGTTGTTCTTTACGGTAGTACTTCAAACGCAACCCTGCTAAACTTTGCTTAGTCTGCGTTGCTTAGGACAGGGTTTAGGAACGCAGGTACAGTATATAATTTCTGGAGATTTCATCCATGGCGCCTTTACATTGCACGATCCGCGCCGCCAGCCTCCTTCCTGTTGCCGGCTCATCGCGCCTAGGAGCTCCTTCGAGGAGATTAACGACATTGACATTTCTGCCTGAGACGCTTCGTTGCAGTCAGCCAGTTCCTCGACCCGGTTCTTCTATCGAGGGTTCATTCAGATCCCTGCGGTATCCTCCATTGCGCTTCGTTAAAAGACGCTCGTTTATGTCACCTTCGTTTCAATCGCGCGTTGCTTCCGCGTCTCGGCTCTCTCGAGGGACAGTGGCTGCTACCGGAGAAGGATCAGCTACGGCATTAGGTGCTGCATCGGTACAGTCTGCTCCGTTATACGATGCAGTGCTTGTAGATGTCGGAGGGACGCTGCTGAAAACCGCCGAGCCGGTCCAAGACACGTACGCCGCGTTCGCCGGGAAATATGGTCCGTTATGAGCGAGGTTTTTGTGTTGTTTTCAACGTAAATCTTTCCAAGCACTGAACTTACAGTGCGAAATTGTGTGATCAGGTGTGACTGTATCCGCGGACGAAATAAAGAAGGGATTCAGACGAGCGTTCGCGGAGCCTTGGCCACATGGCATGAGATACGAGGTGCGATTCTCGTTTTCGAAAGTATCATGGCCTTAAAGCCAGGGTCTCAAGTACCGCAACTGTTTTGCAGTTGGAGTCAGGGGTTGGTTGGGATTGGCTGACGACGTGCAAAGTTTGATTGGAGTTTTGACGACGGTTGGCCAGTTCGATTGGGTTTCGTTTTTACAAAACCGAACCCGCTAGGCACGGGCTTGGTTCGGTTACCAAGCCTACAACGGCCGCAAACCCCCGTGGAAACTCAAAAGTCTCGAGTACCTAGAAGTTGTTTTGCAAATGGTCTTGGGGCAAAAGGGGTTGTGTCGCACAGCAGGCAAATTGCGATTTCGCGCACTCAGAACGGGGTAACCACACAGCAACTGTTTTGCAGTTGCTGCCAGATCTCGGTACTTGAGACCCTGTATTAAAGCACCATGGTTTTAAGTATCATGGTTTTAAGTACCGTGGACTCCCTCACTTCTCCTGCTCCCCATTATTCTCCGCTTACGTTCCTCGCCTCTCCCCCTAGTTACCCCACCCTGCCCGCTCCTCTGCCCCACTTCCCCCTGCCTCACCTTCCCCCCTGCCTCACTTCCCCCTGCCTCACCTCCCCCTGCCTCAATTCCCCCCCTGCCTCACTTCCCCCCTGCCTCACTTCCCCCCTGCCTCACTTCCCCCCTGCCTCACCTCCCCCCCTGCACCGCTTAATCCCAGGGCGACGGGCGTCCGTTTTGGCGGCATGCAGTGGCCATAGCAACAGGGTCCGACAACCAGGATCTGTTTGAAGACCTCTACCAGGTATGGCTTACCTTAGGATTAACTTGGATTCTTCAAGTGAAATGCAGTGGCCATGGCAACAGGGTCCGACAACCCGGATCTGTTTGAAGACCTCCACCAGGTAGTACTAAAGCCTTGGGCCTGAAGGGCTTGAGCCTTGGGCCTGCTATTAAGTCTCTGGCCTTGAAGACTCAATCCTTGAAGTACTAAATACTCTCTGCTCCCTCTCCCTTCGTTTATCCAAATCTCCATTCTTCGTTTACCCCTCTCCCTTCGTTCTCTATTCTTGAAACATCTCATCCTTGCGGCATTTCCTTCCTCCACTTTCCCCTCTCCATCTTCTCTCCAGCCCATGCCCATTGCACCACCACTCCCCTTACACCGAGAACCAACTCTCCTGTCCCCCTCCCTCCCTTTCCCCAGCACTATGGGAAGGCGTCTGCTTCGAGAGTGCCAGATAGTTCTGTGGACGCTCTCCTTCCTGAGACTCAAGCAAGTCAGCCCTGCGCTCATTTGGCTGCACCCCCCCCAGCACTATGAGAAGGCGTCGGCATGGCGAGTGGCAGATGGCGCAGTGGATCAGGTGGTTAGTGAGCCAACTCGTTACAGTCCTTACTGCATTCTTCCCCCCCCCCCCACCCATCCCCAGCACTATGAGAAGGCAGCGGCGTGGCGGGTGGCAGATGGCGCAGTGGACGCTCTCTTGAGACTCAGGCAAGCCAATGGTGAGCCACGGCAGCTGGAGTGCCTCTGTTCTCATGGTTTTTGAGAATTCTCAAAAACCAAATCAAATCTCTCGAGACTCAAGCAAGCCAATGCTGAGCCTCGGCAGCTGGAGTGCCTCTGTTGTCATCGCGCAAGCTGCTTAAACCCTAAATACAGCCTTCGTCTCTTCCAGCCTTGGTCTCGTCCCAGCCTTCGTTTCTCTGAAGTGTTTCTTTAACAGCTCCATCTCTCCTCTGTTCGTTGCTCCCCACCTTGCCTTCCAGTTCGTTTGGCAATTGTGTCCAACTTTGACTCTCGATTGCGGCCGATTCTTCAGGACCTTCAAGTAGACTCCCTGTGAGTTCATCGTTCTCCAACATTTCCATCTTCATTCTCCCTGTGAGTTATAAGATCTTTTTATTTTTATTCTAGATTTGTTTTTCTGTCCTAGACACAAGGTTGGTGCAGTGAAAGGCCGTGGTTCTTTGCTCACCTCTTTTTCCAGTGCCTTGCCTTTCCCGCCTCAGTTTTGACGCCATCGTCGTATCAGCTGAAGTTAAATATGAGAAGCCGTCACCAGAGATATTCTCCATCGCCCTTGGTAGGTAGTGTTTTGTCGTGGCTGGGCGGGTGATGGAGATGGTAGGGATTTTGGGGAGGGGAGGGGGGAGGAGAGGGGCAACAGTACTTTGTCAGTCAGAATGTTCATATCTGTAGAATCTCAACCTCTTTGCTCATTTCTTCCTTCCCCTCCCTCCCTCCCTTTACCACTTTCCCCGCTCCCGTTTTCTCCTCTCCAAAAGAGCAAGTAGGCGTGTCGTCCCCCAGTCGAGCGGTGCATGTGGGCGATGACGCTGTGAACGACCTGAAGGGCGCCATGGATGCTGGCCTGCATGCATGGTGAGACATGGGTAAGTGTGAGTGTGAGTAGGGAGGATTGCGGTATGACTTTTGAGTCGACTCATAACTCCCCGCAGTATGTTGTCATGCATTTGATCAGTGTTCGTGCCTCTTTATTCCTGACTTCGATTGTGCACGGTGATTTGACATTTCTCAAAACCACCCTGCACAATAATGGTGAGACAAGGGGACGTGCGTGTGTGACTGAGGATTGCATGTTGTCATGCATTTGATCAGTGTTCTTGCCTTAAGGCGAATTCCTACGAACCAGGATCAGAATCAAGTTGGATCAGAAATATGCGGTAATGTGCGGTGCGAGTGTGTAAATCACGTTTCAGTGCAGTTCATTTTGGTTACACGCGTTTCTGATCCTGATCTTTCTAGCTAGGAATTCGCCCTTAGTATCGCTGCCTTCGTGTCTTTTCCCGATTTTTCAATATATTGCTGGAAATGTTTCAAATTTTCTCTTCGTGCAGGTTATGGAAGCAAGATGTTAACTCGTTTGACCATATCACTCAACGTGTCCTTGGGTTATAAATTGAGTGGCGATAGGCTCCTATACAATAAATAGAGCCTCCCATACAATACCGTACCAGGCTCCTCTCGTTGTGCTAATATTAGGCTAACATTGGAAATAAAACTGCATCCAATCCAACAGTGTGCACAAGCAAATCACAGCACCCCCATAAGCACACAACCTCAAACCCATCCCTCCACACCACCACCTCTTTCCAGGTACCCTACCAGCCTCCCTAGAACGGAGGAGCACCAATGAAGTTCCCCGGGGGCAAGTAGTTACACACCCACATGCCACCCCCATCAGGGCACTGCGCCGACGCACAGCCCACATGCGTGGTGTCCCGCCACACCACCTGCGTGTAGTGCCCACACATCCTCCCCTCCGCACACCCCTCAGGCACCGGGCTGTACGTCCAGTCCACCTTCTCCTCCACCCACGACTGCACCGCCATGCGATCTTCCTCAGGGGTGAGCCCTGCGGGTGCGCTCCAGTACAGATTCTGCCCGAGCCCCTCCGCCCCTCCATGCTCCAGAGGGCACCCCCTGGAGGCGAGGTTGTTGGCCCACTCCGCCGCTGCTGCTGCCACGCTGTCGTCCCAGGCCAGGTCCGGAACCCCCACCTCCTGGCGTGCCCTGTTGTGCTCTTCTAGAATCGCCCCGATGTCCATGTTGCCGCTGGTGCTGCCGCTGCTGTTGTCCCCTCCTCCGCTGTTGCTGCCGTCAGCCGCACTACCCCCATCACCCCCATCAGGGCAGTCACTTGCTATGTCACTGCTGCTCCTGCTGCTGCTGCTGTCGCCATCCTTGTTTTCGAACATTTTATTCCAGGGAAATTCCCCCCCATAGGAGGGCTTGATCGCATCCCCAGCATGCGTGAATTGCCCCTCCCTTGGGGGTTGTCCACCGCGATTCGTGCCACCATTCCCCTTGTTCACCCCAACTGGGTGAACATTCACGCCATGACTAGCAGCGCCGCGGTTCTCCCTGTTAGCATCACCGCCATTACTCCTGTGAATAACCACATCCTGCGCGGCTGCCTTGTGAAACGAAGCCACGGGGCTACCATGGCCGTTCGATCCACGCTTGTTTTGAGGTGCCTCAAAACTAGACCTGCTATCAGCACCATTCCTCCTGTGAGTAACCACGTCCCACGCTGCCGCCTTGTGAAACGCCACCGGGCCACCATGCTCGTTCCTAGTCGAGCCACGCTGCCAGTGGTGGAACGAAGCCCCACCCTGAGCCACGCCATCATCATTACCGCCGCTGCCGCTGCCGCCCTTGGCCTGCCTGTGGCTCCTCGGCCACGGGCCGCCACTGTTGCTGCCCCGCTGGCCGACGAAGCGAGGCTCGCTAGCACGCTCAGGTTGAGGCTGAGGTTCTCCCTCACGGTGGTGAGCCGCGCCTTGAGGCTGAGGGCGATTGATTTTCACGTCTCTGCTGCTCGCCACGTGGAATTGCGCGCCACTCGGACGGGCCGGCGTCGCTCCGTTGAGGTGGTTACCAGCACGGTTGTTAGTGGCAGCAGCCGATTGGTGCATACTGGCACCACTAGTGCGAAATCTCTTCGGGGAGGAGTGCGGCACGTTCAGACCAGACCGCGATGGCTCGTTATCTGCAGGAGAAAACACGAGGGGCTCCGCCACCCGTCCCTCCGCCTTGGCGTGAGATTGGCGCGCTTTGGAATGCGGGATTGAAGACTTCCATGAAACTGCATCGTCGCTCACAGCAGTAGAACGTCGCTCGCCACTGCCGGTTCTGCTGGTAGTAGTTGGGCCACTGCGGGATGCAGGGTGAGGATGGCTTGATGCTGTGCAAGCGCCGACGACGACGAAGATAACCAGTGGTACCGAGACGATCCGTGGATTCACCATGATTGCGCACTGAAGCCTAGTGCGCGAGTTCTGTGGCATACGAGTGAGGAAACTTGCAGCTGTAACGTCGAATTTAACTGGTAGTTATGGAAGTTATGCTGAGGGCACTAGACTTGAATTTCGAATTTTGGAGAGGATGAGAACTGCTTGTGGTGAATGGTGGTTGCTGTGCGAAATGCTGGTCCCTGCAAATATATTTCGATGTTTCAGGGTCCGACATGCGGTTCGGACGTGCGGCTCGGGATCAGCTCTCCAGAAACCGCGAAGTGATGGCGAAGTGGGGTTACGGGTGTCGAGTGCCGTGAACGAGACGTGATGTGACTTGTGGGCGAAGGGGCGAATTACGCGGGCCTGATTGGTCAAAGTTTCCCCAAGTCAACAGGGCTGAGCATGTGTGGGACAAGCCTTGTAATGAGGATGTGCGGTGCCATTACCAATAAGAACGCACGATTGTACCAGTCCTCATATGGAGCAGTATCGGATGCCCACAAATGCTGCACAATGAATAGAATTTTGCAGGTGAAGATGCCTTTCAATATCACATGTTCCCTTGTTTCCAACCTTCAATGCACCACACAATCCCAAACACTTCCATTTTATTGTCTTCCGTTGATTGAAGTACGGAAACAACTTGGGTAAGAGAAACCCTTCAAATTGAGATTAATCCAAAGCATATGGTGGTACCGATTTGAAGTTCGGTTCAGTCCACTAACGCGCACTTCTGGGTTCCCTGGGAATGCATCAGACCAGCCAGGCACATCAAGCTCTGGGCCGGACCAATCCCAAGGCTTCCCTCACCGAGCCACACTGGTTCGTCGCGGACAGGAATCCCAAGGCTGTTTCTCCACCAACCAGTTTATAGGTTGATTGGCCTGCCATAATCCCCACCAACATAGAGTCTAATACTTTTTAGTATCGTCGCGGTGCTCGCGGTGCGGCCATCACCTGGCGGCATTGCTTCCGCCAACTGTCCTCACGTGTAGCAAGTCTCGCTTCGCCACGTGGCTTGTACATATACACAGAGCGTGTTTTAGAGACGTCTGCAACTTCTCGTTGCTATTTATTGATTACTATTATTCTTTCCGAGCCGTCCTTGAAACGCAATAAAATCGCAATCTGCCTTTGCCGATGGCTACAGCCACCACGTGCCAGTCGCTAATCTGCGGGTTGGGTATCCTCGCGTGTTCGTGCTCCTTCGTGGCCGGCGTGCTGATCGCCGCCAGGGAACCACCAGAGAAGCTCAAGGTATCGTCTTTGTGTGTTGAAACACTCGAGAATTCGCCTTTGTGATTCGGAGGTAGTTAATGGTTGCCTCTGCTGTTTTCCGGGTACTCTTTCGTCCATCCTCCTCCCCGCCATCGCTCGCTCCGTTCCGTTTTGTCTCTTCCCTAAGTTACAACCACGACCTCCATCGCTCCCCGCCCGTCGTCACCCCGTTCCACCGCACTGCACCCCTTTCCAGGTCGACAAGTACGTCCCCGACTTCGAATCCCCCCATCGTCCGTTCTTCAAGCCACCATCCCTCCTCGCAGCAAAGAGGAACTCCTCTTCGAGCTCTAAATCAATCAGCGTCTTTAGTAGCTTCAAGTCAGTAGGCCTCTCAGACGGCTCTAAGTCCACTGAAGTGTTCGCTGAGACACAACCGCCGGAGCTCCAACACATGGGGGAGGAGCGGAAGGGAAAGACGCCTAGGAGCTGGTTGGGCCGAGCAGGAGTCGGAGGGAGGGGGGAGAGAGGGTTAAGGGATGGGAGGGGAGGGGGAGGTGGAGGAGGAGGAGGAGGAGGAAAGGGTGCATCAGGGGGGAGGTCTGGGGATGAGAGATGGGACATGGAGAGTGGGATGGGAGAGAGAAGGGAGTTGGGTGAAAGGAGGGTTTCTGCTGTGGATAGGGCTGCATCTGATCGGAATTCGTCTCATGGTCATCCCATGCCTGCTGAAGGCTCGTTCCGTGACCAGCATGCTCAGGGGTTTTCCCCAGGGTTTACCCCAGGGTATTCCCAAGGCTACCCTCAATACAGCTCATATGCAACATCGTCGTGCCCTTCCACTCCATCCCACCTCTCTTCCCCTTCCCACCCTTCCCTTCCCTTGCACCTTCAGTCCGACCCAAACCACTTGGGAGGTTCGTCCCTCTCCTCGCATCTTCAGTCCCCCCGCACTCCCTCCTACCCCTCCCACCCTACACCGCGCCACCCCCACACTCCCTCCCACCCTTCCACCCCCACTCAGCTGCACTCGAATCCTTCCCCATGGGGGCCTTACTCCCCCCGCTCTCCATCCCCATCCATAGAACCACACTCTTACATGCCCCACGGTCCTCACCCCTCCATGCCCTCACATCCCGCCTCCATGCCGCATTACCCCTCCCCTATGCCCCATCCATCCCACATGCCCCATCCATCCCACTACCCATCCCACCAACCATCGCACCAACTATCACATCACCCACCTGGGTACCCGCACCCCTATGCAAGGCCATCCTACCCTTATGGCTATCAGAACCACCCAGGTGCAGGAGCATTTGGTCTGAGTCCTAGCCATCCTCCCTCTCACGCCAGCAACCCCAGCACTCCAAGAACGCCAGGTCAAGGGCAGGGAGAGAGAGGGGGGGAGCAGCAGGGAGTGAGAGGAATGGGGTCGCAGCAGCAGGGAGGGTACAGGGGAGGGGTTGAAGGGGGTCACTGGCACTGGCGGCCCTCTTATGGTCCTGCATCTGACCCTCCCCTACGTTCCCCTGTGGCTAGAGCATTGACGTGAAATAATCGGATTTAGACAGCTTTTATTGTACAAGAAAGTACATTTACCAAGTGGTGTAGAGATCACAAGGCTGCAGCTTCCAGCAGGGAAGTCCCTTGTGAGTCCAGAGAATGTGGACATGCCCTCGTGAGTGCTAGGAATTACACCTTGTGCCAATCCAGATATCACTAGTCACATGACTCATGACTCATGAGGCGGCAGCTTCTAGCAGGAGGTCTCTTGTGAGCGCAGCGAATGTGGACATGCGCTCGTGAGTAAAGAGGGGTGTGACAAAAACGAAGCTCAGGCGAAGGACGCCATCCTGCAAAGAGGGGATTCATAAGATTCACAGGGAGAACGATGAGCTCTATGGTCTAACTGTTACAAATGGACCCAGAGACGTACGTAGGTAACTATCCGCTTATTTGAGATAAAAGGAAATTGAGGCCAAAAGAAGCCGAGGAACACGCGAGCTCCTTCGTGCCAGTGGCAAATGTGGGTCACTTACCGAAAGGGTGTCTGGGATGGCAATGGCGGGTCCAACCCCATGCGCTGAAACCACTGGCCCTAACACATGCTCCAGATGCACCTGCTCCAGTTGCACCTCCTCCAGTTGCACGTGCTCCAGATGCACCTGCTGCTGCTGCTGCTGCTGCTTGTGAGACTCAGTGCTGTTGGTGGGGCTGCTGCTGGGGCTGCTGGTGCAGCTGCTGATGCTGCGGGTGTTACCACTCTCACTTCTGTGAAGATCTGTGCGAGAAGTGGCAGAAGTGGCATCTGCAGCAGACAGCTGCCAGTCAACCCTGAGGGGTGCAAGCATGCCAGCTGTGAGGAAGCAGGTTCGGAGGGAGTGGTCCGGGGAGAGGCTCGGCATTTTCATGGCCTGGAAAGGAGGGGTGGAAGAGAGCCCAGTGAGGAGAGAGAGCAACGAGCACAGAACACAGGAGAAGTGGAACATATAACCGCTTATTAATGCAGCAGTAGTGTACTCAAATGTATGTAATTTGGACCTGTTTTACCCATTGAAACCCCAAATCATGCACCCTTATGCACCCACTGTGGAAAACAGCTGCTCGAGCACCGGCATGTCTGTGAACTGCTGCTGCCGCTGCAGCGCTGACCCAGCCCATGAGCCCTCGACTCGAAGCCTCAAACCAGAAAGAGAAGAAAGCCCTTCCCCACACCCATCCCCCTCACTCACAGTGGAAAATAGCAGCTCGAGCACAGGCATGTCTGTGAACTGCTGCTGCCGCTGCAGTGCTGACTCAGCGCGGGCGCTGATTGACGTGGCAACGTCCCAGAAGGGCAGCTTCTCGGAAACCTCCTGCTTGAGTGGCAGCATGGACATGTATTCTCCCAATGCGGTGGAGGGAAGGGGCGGGTCCAGTATAGCCCGGCAACCAATGGCACTGCATGGGGCAGAAATAGGAGGAGAAGAGAGGGAAGGAGGGGGAGGGAGGGTGAGTGGCAAACCTCCTGCTTGAGTGGCAGCATGGACATGTACTCGCCCAAGGCGGTGGAGGGAAGGGGCGGTTCGAGGATTGCCCGACAGCCAATGGCGCTGATAGACGGAACGGGGGGAACGGGGGGGAAGACAGGGAAGACAGGGGAGAGAGGGGAGAGATGGAAGGTGGGACAGTGTGTAACCCCCTGCTTGCGCGGCAGCATAGCCATGTACTCCCCCAACGCTGTTGGGGGCCCAACGCTGTTGGGGGCCCAACGCTGTTGGGGGGAAGGGGTGGGTCGAGGATAACCCGGCAGCCAATGGCACTGACAGACGGAACGGGGGGACAGTGGGCGGCAGCATGGACATGTACTCGCCCAACTCTGTGGGGGGGAGGGGCGGGTCGACTAACGGCCGGCGGCCTATAGAGCTGCGACGAACAATGATGATTCGGCAGAAAAGAAGGGGAAATGGAGGAGAGCGGAGGGGGAAGGTTGAGTGGCAGCACGGACATGTATTCGGCATTGCGCAGTCATTGCGTGTGTGCCATCGTGGCAAGCAGCTCACCTTCCCAAGCTGAATATTTCAGTTCTGCCGCCCAGTTGCTTCATCCGGGCGGCAGCTTTGAGCCCCGCTGCGCACTCTAGGGAGAAGAGCGAGCACCCGTGCGACTCCGCTGCAGCCAGAAGGGCGGCAGTTTCTGTCGTTTTGTGGTCATGGAAAGTGAACGTTGGAGAGAGAAGGGGGGAGGAAAAGCGGGTAAGTTTGGGGAATCGGGGGGTGGTAAGGGAATATTTACACAAAGAGAGAGAGAAAGAACGAAAGAAAATAAGAAAAAAAAAAAAAAACGGACGGATTTTTGTTGGGGCTTGAGAGCAGCTTACCCTCTCTAGTGAATGCGACTGTAACGAATCGCGTCCTAAACGAGTTCTTCCTCGAATCAGCTCGCCCGGGCTCGAAAGGAAGGTGCGAGGAAACGAGGGCGTTGCGCACGTAGCCAACGGCGTTGAAGGCTTGCGCGAATGTGCCTTTAACGGAGGCGCTCTTAACGGAGAGTGACTTTGGGAGGAGCGCCACGAGGGGAGGAGGGAGGGAGGGCGGCGCTGTTTTATCTTGGTGGGGGGAGAGAGGAGAGGAGGTGGGAGAGGAAGAGGAGTAGGAGGGGGAGGAGGAAGAGAGAGTGCGGTTGATTTCGGCCTTTGCGCGTCGCAGCTCTTCCAGGAATCCCGCCGCGATGGGCGGCGCCGAGTGCTCGTCCAGGGCGGCGATGTGCGACCGGAGCACGACAAGCGTCCCGTTCGAATGGGACGCGTACACGTGGACCTGGAACACGTCAACGCACGTGTCTCCCTGACCGTCCATCATGGGCGTGTTCAGCTCTGCTTCAACCACCCGATGCAGCAAGCCATTCCGAGACGCCACGTCAGCATGAAAATCCGAATCCTTCACCGGATTGGATCCGGATCTTCTTGGATCCGTTGAAGTCTCGCCGATTGCCACGTCATCAACGTTGCGCTCGCGTACTGTGATTGGCTGGGGAGGTCGGCACACGTGGAGCTCCGGGCGGTGCGACTTGGGCGGCTTGAATATCCGGGCGGACAGGACAGGGTGCCGGGCAGATAAAGATTTGAGAGCTGCCCGAACCTGTGGAGAAATGCGAGAGCAGAAAGCAGAGAATAGCAGGGGAAGGGGAGAAGGGGTTTGAAGGGTGATGTGGAGCGAAATGGGGTGGGGGATGAATGAGCGAAATGGGGTGGGGGTCTCTTTCCATCCTTCCATTCCTTCCATTCGGTGGGTAACGAATGGAAGGATGGAAGGATGGAAGGATGGAAAGAGACAGGGACTACCACCGAGGGATCTCCGGCGCGGTACTAGTACCTCGCCTGCTGACTTGGCCTGCTATCTGTTCGTTTCAAGCGATGCACTGCGTTAAAGGATGAATGTCCTACCTCGTCCATGCTGACGTCCTACCTCGTCCATGCTGACGTCCTATCTCGTGCATGCTGACGTCCTACCTCGTCCATGCTGACGTGGCCGGCAATCTGCAGCCCGACGACGCAGACGCCGGTGCCGCCGTGCATCGCGCGCCACCACAGCTCCTCGTCGCCCGTCAACGGCCGGCTATAAGCTGCCGGCCCGTCAAATCCGCACGCCTGACGGCCGCATGGTGGTACCGCAGTGGCTGCCGCGCTGGCACCGCCGCCCCACAACCTTGATATTGTCGAGACTCCCGCGGCGCCGCGAGATTCCCGGGGAAGTTTTGGAGCGCTCAAATCGGAATCTGACACGTCTGAGTCGGGAGATGGGAGAATTTCCGATGGGTGGGGAGATTGAGTTGTTTTACTAGATGACGGCTGGGACCAGGAGCGGTCAGGCGTTAACGGCGACGTCGGTGATAGGCGACTCGAGTCCATGCCTGTTGTTACTGGAGTCCAATGAAGGCTACGGGTTGAGGCAGATAATAGTACGAGAACGAGAAAAGGGGAAAGGAAGGTTATAATAGAGGAGGCCTAAGAAGCAGGATTGAAGTGACTGGAGAAATGGATAAGCTATTCTCGACAAAGTGAACGCGACAGCAATGGATTTATGCTATCTTCCATCCCCCCCCCCCCCCCCCACCAATTCGAAGGCACCTGGACTGGTTTGGACCAGGTTTGATTTTCCCCCATCGCACCTTCATGAAGTTGAGCTGAATTTTATCTCGATCAGTAAGGTACAGAACGGTGTTCTGCCTTTTGTAAACGGTTCGAAGCGTTAGTGCTCGGTTTTGCCTGAAATCATGCAAACTGGTTTTCACGAGAATGCTCCACCGATTTTTTTTCCCGAAGCGCGATGCGCTGGACATGGTCTTGATGTCGGCGAACCTTGAAGCCATCGCGGCTCGAGTGCGCACGTGAGATGGCGTGATGCTAACAGCTAGCTGTTTATTCGCGAAACCCAAACCTTGACGCGCAGTTACTTGTGCTGGCTTTGACCAATAAGAGAGAGCAGCCTTAACAGGGAGGCAACGAGCAACCCCTCGCATTCGCCGACGACGGTTTGCTGGCAACTTTTTGCTACGCTGTGACTCAGATTGACGGTGATTGGAGTAGAGATGACGGGCAATCAGCAGGGAAAGCACCAATTGCGGTGACGCTTGGATCTTTACTGTGGTACAGACTACACTCAAATGTGACCCGGTATTGTAAACGAACCGCAAATCTGAACGCATTGCTGTAAGTTTCCATTCGGATAGTATGTTAGGATGCACACAAATCATAAGATTTCCACTCCTAAGGAACCTGAATGCAACTCATGTTTCTACCCCATCCTTTCGTGACTACCAAACCGCAAGTTCTAGGCGTTCTAAAACTCGCCATTAGGCACTTGCCTTCTCTTTCTTCAATGACAAGCGGAGGATCTCTCCTAATGACGATGCTGCCACTGATCTAAGCGCCGCATTTGGAGACTTCTTTAGTAGTTGAGAAAGCGCTTTAGTGAGAGCCACAGGGATGGCAAACGAAGCAGTGGAAGGCAAGGGGCTTGTAGCTTGAAGGCAGGAGCCGGATGCACTACTTGTTGTGGGATCTGATACAGCCTTCCCAAGTGATGATCTATTTTCCGCGACGAATCGAATGAGGCCAGTGAAAAAAGCTATTGCTGTGATTTTAACGGAGTCTGAGGGGTTGGAGAGTGCCTGTAGAGGGGGAATGGCAGGGGCAGTATGGAAGGATTGAATAAGAGTGGTGGGAGCGCGACTGTTATTTTTAAAATGCCCACAATCGATGTTTTGAAAATAGTGAAGCACAAACGAAGCAACAGGGTCTCATAATAGTAGGTGCATGCATGCTTACTGTGCAAATCAATTCAACAGCAGCTTGCCTGCATGTATGCTGACCAAGAGAAGTTTTAGAGGCAAATGCCATATATAAAAGGTAAGCTCGTATCCCTGTTCACTATGTTAAAAGGTGTACTCACCTCCAGTGCAAATCCAGTGTACGTGTCGAAATTCGACACCAAGTCGTGCGACAGATACTGATAGAAGCTGTGTGAGAAGAGAGGGGAGCTCCTGAAGATTATGGCGACGAAAAGTAGGAGGGGGGGAAGGAAGCGATGCACGCAGACGAGGAGAGATTGGGGGGAGGGGAGATTGGGGGGAGGGGATCTCTTCAGCAACATTCCATGGGGAGAAGACGAAAGGGCACATGGAGAGCGCGCCATGTGTTTTTGAGCCGGCTCAAAAGCAATAGTCCATGAGGAGAAGACGAAAGGGCACATGGAGAGCGCGCCATGTGTTTGGATGTGAGGACAGGGCATCCCTTTAGTTGCTGGGAAGGGTGCTGGCATTTTAGGTTGACCTGGGATAGTTGGCAGTCAAGTCTGGTAAGATGGTGGAAGGCGAAGCTAGAGAAAAAGGCTGACGCCCTTTTTCTCTAGCTTCACCTTTTCTCTGGCTTCACCTTTTCTCTGGCTTCACCTTTTCTCTGGCTTCACCTTTTCTCTGGCTTCACCTTTTCTCTGACTTCACCTTTCCTCTGGCTTCACCTTTTCTCTGGCTTCACCTTTTCTCTAGCTTCACCCTTTCTCTAGCTTCACCTTTTCTCTAGCTTCGCCTTTTTCTAGTTACACCTTTTCTCTAGCTTCACTTTTTCTCTAGCTTCATCTTCTAGGAAAAAAAAACACGCATGGCCGAGATTCGGCAGGCCCACATGGACGGTTAAGACTTCCAAACTTACGTGGCTAGTTGGTGGGTAAATTCAGCGCCTTGATTGGGCAACAGTAGCTGACCCAGGCGATACGAGCACGCCTACAGCAGCAGGGAGATAAAGGGGAGGTAAAAAAAAAGGACAAAAAAAGAGGGTTGGAACTTGGAAGGAGGCTGGAAGGTATTGAAACGAGGAGCAGGCTGGTGTACGTAGCAATTCAAGATTTTAATTTCAAGTAGTGGTATGTATCGGATCAGTCTAATCCCTTCGCACCTTGCACGCATGCGTGACTCGATCCGGTTGTTGGTCTGAGAGGAACCACATGGCTGCCATTGTCTCCCGAACCTGAGCAACAGGCTCGGCATGCACCCACCACAGCAGATCACATGATCAGGCACGTTGTTTTGGCGTGGCAAGGAAGAATAATCAGGCAGAAGCTGAGAGAAGGAAAATACAACAGGACGAGATGAGTGGAAAAACAGCCAAGGAATTAACACGACAGAGAACAGTTCACAAGATTGAACAGCAAACAACAAGATACATGGAATCAGCAATCTTGTGAACAGCAAACATCAAGCTCTTTGGAATTACCGGCTGCCCAGCCCCTGAAGCATTCAGAAGCCCATTTTGGAATAACATGTCTCAGAAGCCCATTCAGAAGCCGATTTTCAAATAACAAGTGTCTGGAACCGAATAAAACATGTCACCTAAATTATCTCTGCGCAGCAAACAGTCATTCCCTCAAACAGCACAAAAAAAAAAAGAAAAAAAGAAGGAAACAAAAAACGGAATGTTCTGGTGTAAAGGATCTGAAACGGCCTTCCCACCCACCCACCTCGGGTTTGAGATCTTCAACAGAGGGTAATGGCTCTTCAGCCGAGCAAGGCTCAGATGTGATGTATGTGTGAGCTCCTGTGCTCCCACTCTCCTCACTCTGCTGCGGTGAATCGTTGCTGCTTTGCTGCTGCTGCTGCTGCTGGTGGTTCAAGAGGCATGCGGCCAAGGCACCTGCCATCCATGCTGCTGCTGCTTGGGCTGTGGAATCACGGCTCTTCTGCAGAAAAGATTAAGGGAAGAGAGGAATGCATGTGAGATTCGAGTGAGCTTAGAGGCTCCGCAGGCGCATGCCCATGTTGCATGCTTCTGTAGACTGTATGATGCTTCTGTAAACTGTATGATGGTGGAATATGGGAATTTTTTTGTGCAAAAGCCCATGCATGTTTCACACTCTCGATCAGACATTACCAAGATAGCCCTCGCCGATTGGAGGATGGTGACAGCTGGCAGTGGCTGACGGGCTGGGAAGCTGCACTGCGAGAGGCACTGGAGAGTGGACAAGGTCGCAACCGGGATGAGGGGGAAGGGGGTGGGGGGGAGATTTTTGCGTCGACTAAAAAATCAAGGGGGTGGGGGGGAGGGGATGAGGGAGCAAAGGGGAAAAAGAGGCGCACGCTGGGGAATGGGAAAGGGGGAGAGAAAGGGCTTTTGAGGCGCCTCAAAAGACGCTGGGGAATGGGAAAGGGGGAGAGAAAGGGCTTTTGAGGCGCCTCAAAAGACGCTGGGGAATGGGAAAGGGGGAGAGAAAGGGCTTTTGAGGCGCCTCAAAAGACGCTGGGGAATGGGAAAGGGGGAGAGAAAGGGCTTTTGAGGCGCCTCAAAAGACGCTGGGGAATGGGAAAGGGGGAGAGGAAGGGGGGCAGCGTTGAGGGAAGGATGCGGAGAGAGGAACAGTCAGGGGGGATTGGACTTTTGAGGCGCCTCAACAGCGTTGAGGGAAGGATGCGGAGAGAGGAACAGTCAGGGGGGATTGGAATTTTGAGGCGCCTCAACAGCGTTGAGGGAAGGATGCGGAGAGAGGAACAGTCAGGGGGGATTGGAGGGGCAAAGCCAGCAGCTCAGCAACGAGAGGAGCAGATACTACAAACATGCTGCTGCTATGTGTGTGCTCTATGGGCTCTATAGTGTGCATGGGTGCAGAGAGCAGGGGCAAGGGATGCTATGGCGCCATAGCATCCCTTGCTACTATCGTCCTATCATGCTTGTATGCTATGGTGCCATGATGCCACAGCATACCGCATGGGTGCAGAGCGTAGCAGCAAGCAAGGGACACGATGGCGCTACGGTGCTATGGTTGTGCATGTCACAGTGCCGTTACATTGGCATACTCCCTGTGTTTGCTACACTGCCCATGCTGTTACATTGCCATATTCCCCGTGTTTGCCATGCTGCCCGGCCTATGAGTTATGCCATGTGCCATGTGCCATGCGCCATGCGCCATGTACGGGTTATGCCATGTGCCATGTGCCATACCTGATGGCTGCAGATGGTAGCAGCAAGCGACACCATGGCGCTTGAGTCTTGCAGGGAGAGAGAGGCGGCGGAGAGAATTCGATGCAGCACGGTGGGGGGTGGTGGGGCGGTGGACTGGGGCAGCTGCAAGGGTAGAAGGAAAAGGAAAGGGGAGTGGGTTTTGAGACATCTCAAAAGCAGAGCGTAACAGCACACCATGGCGCTTGAGTCTTGCAGGGAGAGAGAGGCGGTGGAGAGAATCCGATGCAGCACGGGAGGTGAGGGCGGGGAGGGGAAGTGGGGCAGCTGCAAGGGTAGAAGGAACAGGAAAGGGGAGTGGGAGAAGGGGTTATCGTGATACTTATTGAAGGTGCCTAAAAAAGGGTCACGATGATACAAGCCTTGCAATGAGGCGGCAGAGGAAACCCGATGCAACAACGGGAGGGGACACGGGGGATGATGGTGGGGAGGGGGACAGGGGGGCGTCTGCGTTTCGAGGGGTCTCAAAACTAGATAAGTATCAGCTTTGAGGCGCCTCAAAACTAGATAATTATCAGGGGGGCTGCGTGTGCGAAGTCTAGTTTTGAGGCGTCTCAAAGGGGACCGGGGGAGGTGCTCGCAGGAATGAGAAAGAGGGGAGGAAGGTACAAGAGGCTCGGGGTCCCAGGGGTGGTGATCCAGGGGGTGGTGCTCCAGGGGTGGTGTTCCAGGGGTGGGGTCCCAGGGGATTCTTGAGGCGCCTCAAGAATCGACTCACAACATAGAGACCAAGAGGCCGGGAATCTGTGTGTTCTGAGTCCATTTTTTAGTCGACTCAAGAATCGACTCATAACATAGAGACTAAGAGGCAGGGAATCTGTGTGTTCTGAGTCCATTTTTTAGTCGACTCAAGAATCGACTCATAACATAGAGACTAAGAGGCGGGGAATCTGGGTGTGGTGATAAAAAGTGGCAGTTGAGCATCCTAGGGAGATATTCTTTATTCTAAAAAGCACCCTGCGAAATCAACGTGGGGAGGTTTGGGCGGAGTGATAAAGAGTGGCATGTGAGCATTGCAAAGAGAGAGCAGCAGCAGGGTTTAGGCGGTGATAGTCGCAAGGGACTGGGTAATAGGGGGTGGGAGAACTCGAGCCTGTGAAACAATGGAATCACCTTAAAGCCATAAGACAGCAGATTGGGCGAGTATGAGCTGAGCCATGCAGCAGCCCCAGCTGCTGGGGCGAGTATGAGCTGAGTCATGCAGCAGCCCCAGCTGCTGGGGCGAGTATGAGCTGAGCCATGCAGCAGCCCCAGCTGCTGGGGCGAGTATGAGCTGAGCCATGCAGCAGCCCCAGCTGCTGGGGCGAGTATGAGCTGAGCCATGCAGCAGCCCCAGCTGCTGGGGCGAGTATGAGCTGAGCCATGCAGCAGCCCCAGCTGCTGGGGCGAGTATGAGCTGAGCCATGCAGCAGCCCCAGCTGCTGGGGCGAGTATGAGCTGAGCCATGCAGCAGCCCCAGCTGCTGGGGCGAGTATGAGCTGAGCCATGCAGCAGCCCCAGCTGCTGGGGCGAGTATGAGCTGAGCCATGCAGCAGCTGGGGCGAGTATGAGCTGAGCCATGCAGCAGCTGGGGCGAGATTACTACCTTAGAGAGTATAAGCAGGATGACGGCTCGAGCTGCAGAGGAAGCTTCCTGGAAACGGTCCAGCTGCCATGCAATTGTTGCCTCCAGGTCAGATGTGTGCACGCTGGAGAGAAGAATGTTGTGGGAGGGGCAGAGAAAGGGAGAGTCTTGGGGTGCGATTTGAGACGCCTCAGACCAAAGAATGATGTGCGGGTGCTGGAGAGGCAGGCGGGGCTAAGCCGCGGGCAAAAATGATGTGACTCAAAAATCACCCTCAGCCCAAGGGAGGAACGATGTGTGCTGTTCACTTCATTCATCCGTGTGTGTGCTGGAGACAAGAATGCTTTGGGGAAGGCAGAGTAGGGAAGAGTCTTGGTGCGACTACAGCAACAAAGACAGTGTTTGGGAGAGGTAGGCAGGAGTGTGTGGTTAAGTAGTTTAGTTTTGAGACATCTCAAAACTGAAATACTTAACCATGGCAGAGTAAGGAAGAGTCTTGGTGTGACTAGAACAACAAAGACAGTGGTTGGGAGAGGCAGGCAGGGGGGAGGAAGAAGAGGAGGGGTGGGATGGAGGTCAAGGAAGAGCGGGATCATGTCTAGAGTATGTTCTGCCCAAAAATCAGAATTTGTTCGTCAATGAAAGATTTGGTCGTAGAGGTCAGGGGAGCTGTGATGGTTTTTTTAGAATTCTCAAGAACCTTATCACAGGAAAGGGCGGGATAATGTACATGTTCTCTCTGTCAGTAATTCGGAATCTGCTTGTAAACGAAAGAGTTGGGCGCATAGGACAAATTGAGATGCATGTGTGACGCAACTATAGGAGCAGCGTCTGTGATAGAAACATACACCATCTCTTACCTCCCTTCCACGCTCGTTGCATGGCAGATAAGAGCAGCATCTGTGATGTACTTGTAAACGCTGTTGCACTCCACAGCTCGGGTGAGAAACGCCTCAACATACAGCACCTGCAGTGGGACAAGGAGGGGGGAGGGGGAGGGAGGGGAAGGAAGTAGTTGTGATGTATTTGAACAAGCTATGCACTCCACAGCTCGGGTGAGAAACGCTTCAACATACAGCACCTGCAGGGGAAAGTAGGGGTCACAAATTAACTTTTGAGTCGACTTAAAAGGCACCTGCAGGCGAAAGTAGGGGTCACCTGTAACCGTGTGTTGAGGGGCCTTAAAACACAGCCTCAAAACACAGCCTTAAAACACAGCCTCGAAACACAGCCCGGGTGAAAAACGCATCCACATAACACGCGGGATGCGTTTCTCATCCAGGAAATACAGCATTTGCAGTGGCAAAAAGGGACCACAAGTGGTTGACTCTTGGTCGAATCTGCAGGATCAAAGGAAGTTAGTACAAACCCCTCTATAATGGAGTCATTATTCAGAATTCTAAAAGAGCCTCGCTCTGCTACCAGCCACCCCTGCTTGTCCCCTTCCACTGTTCGTTCCTCATGGTTGGAAGGGTAGCATTACCAAGAGAATTGCTTGAGCAAAAATCGTCTCACTCTGCTACCAACCACCCCTGGTTGCCCACTTCCAAGCTTCCTGCCAGCACTGGTCTCACTCACACTCACTGCCCCCCTGCATGCCAGCCATGGTCTCCTCCTCCCCATATCACCCCCCACTCACCTCCACACCGTGCGAGCTCTCCCCTGCATTCAAAGTGGCTCCCATAAGACCTTCCATCAGCTGAAACAGCACCAATAGCTGCCCCATATTAGTATCAAGCTCACTGCCTCCCTGCCTGCCAGTGTCACCCCTCCCACTCCCTCCCCCCCCTCCCCTCCATAACCCCTCACTCACCTCCACACCATGCACGCTCTCCCTGGCATTCAAGAATTCGCCCCCATAAGGCCTTCCATGAGCCAAGCCAATACAGCACTGATAGCGCCAAAACCCTAAACCCATGCTGGTATCAAGCTCGCTGCCTCCCTTCCTGCCAGTGTAACCTCCCCCACTCCTCCCGCCACTCCCCCCTCCCCCCCCCCCCCTCAACCCACCTCCACACCGTGCGAGCTCTCCCCCGCATTCAAAGTGGCCGCCATAAGAGCTTGCATCAAGCGATACAGCACCAACAGCTGCCCCATACTGGTGTCAAGCTCACTGCCTCCCTGCTCGCTGTCCTTGGCCCCTCCCGCCCCGCCTGCCTGCTCCTTTCGCTCACTCTCCCCCTCGTCGGGTGAAAAGGTCTCGAGAATCTGAGGGGGCCGGAGGGAGGTGTAAAATGGAAGGCAGAAGCGAAGGGAGCCCTTGGGGAAGGGGGTCGGGTGGTGCCTTTGGATTCCATTCAAAAGAATCTGAGGAGGGACGAAGGGAGGTGTGAAATGGAGAAGGTAGAAGAGAAGGGGGCGCTTAGGGAAGGGGGTCAAATTGTGCACATGTGTTGCTTTTTTTGAGGCGCCTCAAAAATAGACTCCTTGCACATGTGTTGCTTTTTTGGGGGCGCCTAAAAAATATACTCCTTGCACATGTGTTGCTTTTTTTGAGGCGCCTCAAAAATAGACTCCTTGCACATGTGTTGCGTTCCCTTCCCACCACAAACGGGCAGGGAGAAGGTGATGAAATGTTAGCAGCACTCGTTTTGAGGCGCCTAAAAACTAGCAGAGAGAAGGTGATGAAATGTTAGCAGCACTCGTTTTGAGGCGCCTCAAAACTAGCAGGGGGAAGGTGATGAAATGTTAGCAGCACTCGTTTTGAGGCGCCTCAAAACTAGCAGGGAGAAGGCGATGAAATGTTAGCAGCACTCGTTTTGTTCTTCTTTTTATTTTCCCCCCAGAAATAAATCAAACGAAACCTGGTAAAATGGCGTACCTAGATGAATGGTTGCTGATGTGATGTGATGTGATGTGACGTGATGTGATGTGATGTGATGTGATGTGGTGTGATGTGGTGTGATGTGATGGGATGTGGTGTGATGTGATGGTATGGCATACCTCAATAAGGGGTTGGTGGCTGAAGAAGCGAGCAACACTACGGAGAGCACCATAGACCAGCCTGGACAAGAGAATGCAATGGTGGGGAAAAGGAAGTCAGAAAAGAAGGGGCGAGAATAAGGGAAGTGAGGACAAGGGGGATTGGCAGTCACAAGGGTGGCCTTTTGAGAGAGGGGTGATAGAGGTGAAAGTGAAGGGACAGACGTGAGAAGACTCTTGAGTCGCAAGGGTGACCCCTTTTGAGAGAGGGGTAATAGGGGTGAAAGTGAAGGGACAGACGTGAGAAGAATTTTGAGTCGCAAGGGTGACCTTTTGAGAGAGGGGTAATAGAGGTGAAAGTGAAGGGACAGACGTGAGAAGAGGACGTATTGAGAAGAGGACGCTTACAAGGAAGGCTCGTTAGACCAGAGCCCTTCGTCTGGCGCTGTGAGGGCGTGTTCCTACGTGACACGATGTCAGGCAACATCGTGTCATTCGGGGTTTTGCCCGTCAATACAAATTTGACACAAAGTAGCGTGACAATCTGTCGCGTAGTAGGAACACGCCCTGATAGCGTTGTTGATTCGCATGCTGAGAAGGCCGTTGGTGGAGAGAGAAGCAAGGCAAAGGTGTCAATATATCCCGCAAAGAACCCCCACACTTACAAGAAGGGGTCGCTGGACCAGAGCCCCCCGTCTGGCGCTATGATGGCATCATTGATTCGCTTGCTAAGGGGGCCATTGGGGGAGAGAGCAGCCTCAGGGTGCGAGGCAAGGGTGTCGATGGCGAGACCACACAGGAGCAGGTTGAGACTGTAGATGGTGGGGATGGAGTGAGAGAGCGCTGCTAGCTTGAGATCGTCTGATGACGACCTGCAGGGGACGCGAGGGAGGAGGGGAGATGGGAGGGGGGTGGGGAAGGGTGGGGTTTTGTACGCAGTTGGTAGGCATCGATAGCGAGACCACAGAGTAGCAGGTGCAGTGCAGGCTGTAGTTGTAGTTGGTTGGGATAGAGTGGGATAGCGCTGCTACCTTGAGGTCAAATCAAATGATGACAGAAAGGAAAGGGAGAGGGGGGAGAGGAGGACAGGGGTCTATTTTTGAGGCGCCTAAAAAATGATGAGGGAAAGGAAAGGGAGAGGGGAGAGGAGGAGAGGGGTACAGTTTGTATGGATGGTGCGCTGCTGAGCAGCAGAGCACAGAGGGCGACAGAGGGAAAGGGGACCAGAGAGACAGAAATGAAGAGGAGAAAGGGGGGGGAACAGTGAGAAGCATGGGAGCATGTTGTAACGGCTCACATGAGCACTGTTTTCTCACCTGAGCATGATCCCCAGAGTCCGGATGGCCGCTTTGGACTCAGAGGAGTAGATGAAGGGCTTCCCTGCGCTCCCCGCACTCCCCGCACTTGCCACAACTGTAGCAGCAACAGCAGCAGCAGCAGCATCAGCAGCAGCAGCAGCAGCAGCAGCACCCTCAGCTGCAGCCTGCCCCAGTTGTGCCTCTTCCGTTGCTGCTGGAGCAGCAGCAGACACCGACCCAACCTGCCCCTCCCCCACCTCTGCTTCTGATGGCACTGCTGCCTCAGTCCCTCCTGCCGGCACCGACCCAACAGCAGACTGCAGCTGTGCTTGTTCCTGCGCCTGTTGCTCTGCTTGTGACCCTGCTTGTGACTCTGAATGTGACTGTGCGTGTGACTGCACTGAGGGCTGTGCTGTTGACCGCAAGTCAGCGAGGCCCACAGGGTTAAAGCCCGGGATGAGCTTGGGGAGAAGCAGGTCTAGAAGCTGAGGACCAAGTGAGGGATGTTGAGCTATTTCCTGCAGATAGTGGGAAGGTAGAGACATTCAAACTTCCAGACTGAGAGACAGCCAGGCGGACAGGGTTGAATCTGGAAGGGGCCTGGGGAGAAGCCGGTCAAATAGCTGGGAACCAAGTGAGGGATGCTGGGCTATTTCCTGCATGAAAGTGGGAAGCAGCAACGAAAAGGAAAAAGAATTTCATACTTTCAAAACTGGACACCAGCCCGGCTAACAAAGCGACAGGCGCCGGCCGGTCCCTTAGTCAACGTTCGCTAGGTTGACATGGCTGCGAATAAGATAAGAGCAACATCAAGCAGCGGAGAATAATGACCTGGAGGAATACTTTTCATGCATACAGCACACGAGTGTTGTGGCCGAGCCAAGGTGCCCCCCAGCCCTACCCGTAACGGGTGGGGCATCATAACTTCAGATCGGTCAGGCGTGAAACGAAGTTGGGTACACCAGCAGCAACAATCGAATCGGATATCATGCATGGCGTGCTTCAACTGCATGATAGAAACGTAGCTATGAGACGTCTCAAAAATGCACTTCTCTATCACACGGCCACAGCAGAGGAGCTGGAGATCATGCATAATGTGCACCCTCCCCTCTGCTTACAGTGCATGATCTCCAGCTCACACGGCCACTGTAAGGTGTATTTTGAGTCGACTCAAAATACACCTAGTGCATGATCTCCAGCTCACACTGCCACTGTAAGCAGACGCCCGCACACCTCACCTCTTTCTGAGACGCCTCAAAATCGTCTCATTCATCTCACCACGCCCATTAAAACCTCACACACCACGCCGCTTCACACTCGCACCCGTCGCACCTCTACAAGCTCTTCCAAGGCCGGCAGCTTCCCAGAGGCTTCCTCCACATGTTGGAGCACGCAGAGGAACAGGGCCGAGGGGCTGCAGGAGGCCGCCAGCGAGCACACCTGTTGGAGGGATGACGAAGGGCAAAGATGAGAGGGTTTCTGTGAGCATTCCTCCATCCACGTGCTGGAGCAGGAAGCGGAACAGGGAAGACGAGGGGCTGCAGGAGGCCGCCAGTGAACACACGTGTTAGCATTCAAGGGGGTGGTGTTAAACCCTAAGAGACGCTTCCCCCACGTGTTGGAGCACGCAGAGGAACAGCGCCGAGGGGCTGCAGGAGGCCATCAGTGAGCACACTTGGCAGAATGTAGATCACATGGGTGTTCACAGCGAACACGCCAGTTCGAGGGAGCTGGATTTCAACACATGACCAAGAGCTCACTCGTGTTCAACACACGAGTGAGTTTTGTGAATTTCTCAAGAATCAGGGCTGAATTAACCGACACGAACCGGAAAATATTAACAATATAAGGCAGGAAGAGCAGGGGCTTGGCCAAGACTGGCTGGGATGGATGACTGACCGCAGCAAAGGCAGGCTGGCGCAAGCAGGCTGGCTGAACAACTGCATTTTCCTAAGAATCAGAACTGCATGTACTGAAAAGAACCGAGAATAAGGACTGGCTGGGAAGGATGACCCACCGCAGCAAAGGCAGGCTGGCGGGCAGAGCGGTAGTGGCAACCAAGGGAGGCTGCAACAATGCGATCGATGATCCTCCCAGCACAGCCCTGCTCCTGCTGCTGCTCCAATAAACCACCACCTTGCAAGTCAGGCTGCTGCTGCTGCTGCTGCACCACTTCCGTTGAAACAACGCCTTGCAAGCCCAGACCTAATCTGAGCGTTTTCAGTTTCGGACTGGGATGATGCTTCATGCCTTGGGATGGCTGCAGCTCTTGCAGTGGTTGCTGCTGCACTGACGACCGCTCAGATTCTGCCTGCAGCAGCAGCTGGTGGCCTCGGAGGGAGACGATGGTGAGAACTGCCTCCATGCACCGACTCACAACGCTCCCCACGTACTGACAATCAGGGCTCTGAGAATGGTCGAATCCTCCCTCCCCCTCCTCAATTTCTTTCTTCCCCTGGTCGGTAGAAGTGCTGGTGGTGTGGCCCGCGCAGGTGATGTGGAGGAAGGCGTCTGCTGCTAGCAGCAGCACTGCCACCTGGGGGAGGGGAGGACGAAGGTGTGTTATGAGTCGATTTGTGAGTCGACTCAAAAAATAGACTCATAACATGGTGATGCGACGAAAGGCGTCTGCTGCTAGCAGCAGCACTGCCACCTGGGAGGGCGGGAAGATGGACAAACAGGTTGGCGGTAAGGTGGTTACCAGGTTACATGGAGAAAGGCATCTGCTGCTAGCAGCAGCACTGCCACCTGGGGAAGGGGAAGATGAAGGGATGGAACAACAGGAGGACGGTGCGATGGTTACCAGGTAACATGAAGACAAGACATCCATACCTCTTATGCTTCTGTGAGTACTGTGAGCAAGCGCCATTTGATGCTTCGGAAGTCATCCCTACCTCGGCGATTGAGTCGACTCAAAGGCAAGCAGGTGCCATTTGAGACGCTTCAGAAGTCATCCCTCCCTACCTTATCAGCTGTGAGAATGTTCGCAATGCAGCCCACAGCAGCATCAAACAGCATCACCCAACGCTCTCCTGCCTCCTTTCTAGTGCGTGCATAAGACACATCGTTCCCTCACAACCGCTCCCTCACCTCCTCAGCTGTGAGAATGTTCGCAATGCAGGCCACAGCAGCATCAAACAGCATCACCCAACGCTCTTCTGCCTCCTTTCTAGTGCATGCATAAGACACATCGTTCCCTCACAACCGCTCCCTCACCTCCTCAGCTGTGAGTATGTTTGCAATGCACTCCACAGCAGCATCAAACAGCATCGCGCGTTGCTCCTCTGCCTCCTCCGATCCCTGAGATGGGCCCTGCAGCAGCAAACAGGTGTGTGCGTGTGCCAGGGGTTTAGGGGCGCCAAAAAAAGGCATCGCACATTGCTCCGCTGCCTCATCCAACGCCCAAAATGGGCCCTGCAGCAGCGAACAGATGTGTGCCACGGGGTTAGAGACTGATGTGAGTGGGGCATCCATGGTTCCACGTAGTATTATATATACATGCCGGTTGATCTGAGCAATGGCACGAGATGTACATGGTTCCTTCAAAGATGCGCTTAAGCATGCCAAGAAATGACACTTACTAGAGACAGTTCAATCCTCGTTGCAGGCATCCTCACCTCACTCGACACAGCTGCAGAGATCTTTGCTTCCAGAGAAGCAAGGAGCACAGGGTAAGTACCCCCTGGTGGGGCACTTGCGAACCGAGTCGGTTGAACTTGAGGGGATGAAAGGGAATCAGAGTGGGGAGCAGCGGCTGCTGCTGTGGTCCCCTCTGATTGGTGCGTTGCAGGGTGGGAGGAGAGAGGGAGGGCGGACGGCGAGGCGGGGGGGGAATGGCTTGGCGACTGCGGCGATCTGTTGGGCTCAGTGGCAGTGCTTGCAGGTGGATTGCCAGGCGAATTTTCAGGTGGGTTTTCAGGTGGAGAGGAGAGGGATACAGCTGTTGTCAGGAGCAAAAGAACCACCTGGTGGGAGGAGACCAAGGGGGCGGCAGGGTGAGAGAAATATGAGAAAATAGGCAGGGCGAAAGACGACATCTGATTTATTTATTTTGGCAGGGTGAAAGACATATGACATTTTTCGCAGGGTAAGAGACAATTGAGACACTTCAGACATTCACAAGGTTAAAAGAAGGCATGGAAGCAGGGAGAGAAAGGCAAGGTAAACGGAGGAGGGGAGATGGATGGAGAGAGGGTGGGAGGGAGGAAGGAGACGGGTAAGAGGGAGGGAGGAAAGAGGTAGGATGGAGAGCAACACAGGACGACTGGAGGAGGAATGAACAGGGGGCAACGATGGACCGCTTGGAATAATTAAATCAGCAGCGATAATAAATCACCCCAATTAATGAACCGTTGCAACATAGCAACAAGAATTAATTTGCTGCAGGCGAATAGCTGAAGGAGGGCGCACCTTGCAGCTGAGCAGTTGGAGCGTGCGGTCAGCATTGGCACAGAAAGGCAGGATGACGGCCATGTGGTGGCTCTATTTTTAAGGCGCCTCAAAAGTATACTCGGGTTGCTTGCAGGCGAACAGCTGGAAAAAGGTTACCTTGCAGCTGAGAAGTTGCAGTGTGCGGTCGGCATTGGCACAGAAGGGCAGGATGACAGCCATGTGGTGGCCCAGGTTGAGAGATGGGCGCGATGGGTGAGAGCGAGCTGGGGATGGAGGGGGGGGTGCCGAAATGGGAAAGGAAGCAGGGAGGATGTTCATCGGATTGATTGGCACAGAAGGGCAGGACGATGGCCATGTGATGGCCCAGGTTGAGAGATGGGCGCGATGGGGGGGAGTGCGCTGGAGGGGGGGAAGTGGCGATGTTGAAAGGGGAAGCGAAGCAGGGAGTGTTTTTTTTTTTTTTATTGGCACAGAAGGGCAGAAAGAATGATAGCCATGCGATGGTGGAGGTTGAGAGATGGGCGCAATTGGGGGGGGGGGTCGAGCTGGAGGGAGGAAAGAAAGGAGAGAGTGTTCACTCACCTTCCTTCCTGTGCGTCCATACAGTGCTCCACTGCTGCCGGCCTTAAGGAGAGTATTAGCATCTTCCCAGCAGAACACATTCACTCACCCTCCTGTGCGTCCATACACCTCACTCCACCCCTGTTGGGCTCCAGGAAGGCTTTTACATCTTCCAACAACAAACTCGCTATCCCTGTCCTCCAAGCGCCAAGGCATGGAACTGAGCGCATACAGGAAGACACGTCCTCATCATTCACTCACCCTCCTGTGCGTCCGTATAGCTCACTCCACCCCTGCTGGCCTCCAAGAAAGAGCGCACATCCTCTCAACAGCAATCTGGCAGCCGGTGTTCCCCAAGCGCCAAGGCATGGAACGCACAGGCATGCGCCAAGGCATGGAACTGAGCACAGGCATGGAACTGAGCACAGGCATGGAACTGAGCACAGGCATGGAACTGAGCACAGGCATGGAACTGAGCACAGGCATGGAACTGAGCACAGGCATGGAACTGAGCACAGGCATGGAACTGAGCACAGGCATGGAACTGAGCACAGGCATGGAACTGAGCACAGGCATGGAACTGAGCACAGGCATGGAACTGAGCACAGGCATGGAACTGAGCACAGGCATGGAACTGAGCAACAGGCATGGAACTGAGCACAGGCATGGAACTGAGCACAGGCATGGAACTGAGCACAGGCATGGAACTGAGCACAGGCATGGAACTGAGCACAGGCATGGAACTGAGCACAGGCATGGAACTGAGCACAGGCATGGAAACTGAGCACAGGCATGGAACTGAGCACAGGCATGGAACTGAGCACAGGCATGGAACTGAGCACAGGCATGGAACTGAGCACAGGCATGGAACTGAGCACAGGCATGGAACTGAGCACAGGCATGGAACTGAGCACAGGCATGGAACTGAGCACAGGCATGGAACTGAGCACAGGCATGGAACTGAGCACAGGCATGGAACTGAGCACAGGCATGGAACTGAGCACAGGCATGGAACTGAGCACAGGCATGGAACTGAGCACAGGCATGGAACTGAGCACAGGCATGGAACTGAGCACACACTGCAAGATACGTCGTCAGGACACTCACGCATTCCCTCACCTTTTACAAGGCAACCGATCTTTCTGCTGACAGAAACTCCACGCTGCAGCTCTTCCTCCAATGAGTGACGATCCTTGGGATCTCACTTACGTACGTCGTCGGGACACTCACGCATTCCCTTGCCTTCCCGTGCGTCCATGCAGCGCACTCCACCCCTGCTGGCCTTGAGAAAAGTAGTCAAGTATTCCCAGCAGCACCCACCCTATTACTCACCGTCCTGTGCTTCCAAATGGCTCAATCCACCCCTGCTAGCCTCCAGGAACGAGCACACGTCTTCCCAACAGCAGTCTGGCAGCCGGTGTTCCACAAGCGCCAACGTATGGAACTGGGCGCAGACAGCCAGATACGCCGTCAGCACCCGCTGCTGTGCTGCCATCACTACCTCCACCGCTGATGCCACCGCCTCTCCTGCGTCTCCCTCCCCTTCTCCCCCTCTCTCCGCTCTGTCCTCCCTGCTTCCTTCTACTCCCCCTCTCTCCCATCCGCCTGCTCCACCTCCCAAGTTCGATTTGCCCCTTGCTCTGAGTCCGGGGCTTCCAGGTTGACTGCCAGGCTTACTGCTAGGCTTGCTACTCGGCTTGCTATTGGGGTTGCTTCCGGGCTTGCTACCCACTTGACTACTGCTGGGTAGGGAAGAACTGGTTGGGGCGGAACTGGGTGGGGATGAGGTGAAGGCGGAGGAAAGGAGAGTGGTGGGGTTGAGGGCAGAGGGTAGCTGGGAGGAGGGATGGGGAGGAGGAGGTGGGAGGAGGAGGGAGAGGAGGGGACGGAGCAGAGAGAGGATGTGCTGGAGCTCCTCTTCCTCTTCCCTGCTGTCCTTGTTGCTGCGAGAGCACGGGAGAACGGTGAAGAACACACAGAGAGCAAGGGGTTGGTTGGGCATAGGCATGAGCAAAACCGGGTATTTACCCGACCCGACCCGGTTTTGCTATACCCGACTTCGGGTCGGGTATTTTCGGGTCGGGTACGGGTCGGGTAATATGCCCAGGACCAATACCCGGACCCGGGATTTGGGGGGCGGGTAATTTAATACCCGCCTGGCGGGTCCGGGTATACCCGACCCGGTTTCCTTGAAAAGCGGGTAGTATTACCCGCGTTTTTCTACCCTGTTGGGCTACTAAGCCTACGACCTAGATAGTGCTTCAAAAAACGTGAGCTGCGGGAGGGAGTATGAGGTGCGTCAAATCTTTAACAGTTCTGGTGTGGTGAGTGGGTCGTGAGTGGGGCCTGGTGGGGAGTTGGTTGGGTTTTCTAGTTGGGATGGGGTTGTGTGCGGTTTCTGGGGGTTTGATTCTTTGACCCCCAGTGTCAATTGGTTGGAACTCCAACAAATGTGGTGCTGTGCGGTTGGCTGGATTCAGGTTGGGTTGCAAATTGGATTGGGGAAATTCGATTGGTTTGACTTCCAACCAATTCCCCCCAATTCAACCACTCTGAATGCATCTGTATCTACGTAACCCAACCCCTGCCAATCTACAATGCTCTAAGTGACCTAGCAGCTCACGTAACCTAGAAACTTGATGAATTTTCTCTAACAGCGCGACTAATGTCTCGCTGGTTCCGTCGGGTAGACCGCTACCCGATTTCGGGTCGGGTACCCGCTACCCGACGCGTCGGGTAGCATTTCGGGTACCGGGTATTGAATACCCGCCCGGGTAACCCGGACCCGACCCGCCGGGTATTATCCAGGATTTCTGATACCCGACCCGCCCTAAAAACGCGTCCGGGTACCGGGTACCCGACCCGGTCGGGTGGTTTGCTCATCCTTAGTTGGGCACATGAAGGAATGCTGTGGCGGGGCAGAGAGAGCATGTGCTGAAGCTCCTCCTCTTCCTCCCTGCTGTCCTTTCTGCTGCTAGAGCAGAGGAGAGCAAGAGGAGTGGTAAGGCGCGTGAAGGAATGATGGGGCGGAGCCGAGAGAGGATGTGCCGAATCTCCTCCTCTTCGCTAAAGTTTTTTCATCTTGGGCTGTGACTGTGACTGAAGAGCTGTACGGGCTAGAGCTGTGACTGAAGAGCTGTACGGGCTAGAGCTGTGACTGACGAGCTGTATGGGCTAGAGCTGTGACTGACGAGCTGTACGGGCTAGAGCTGTGACTGACGAGCTGTACGGGCTAGAGCTGTGACTGAAGAGCGACGGCACACAAACACACAATTTCCAGTTTGCTCACCTGATCTGTAGCACGCTCACCTCATCTGTAGCACGCTCACCCCATCTGTAGCACGCTCACCCCATCTGTAGCACGCTCACCCCATCTGTAGCACGCTCACCTCATCTGTAGCACGCTACAGAGCAGAGATATGACGCTGAATGCCAACGGACCAACCACCTGCTTCCTCCTCCCTTTTCTCCTCTTTCCCTTCCCACCCCCATCCCCCTCGCCCTCACCCTCACTATCCGAACCACTCGAACTTGACCCCTCTCGTTCTTCCCTCCCCTCGCCTCCGCCCCCCCCTCTCCAACTTCTACACCACTTCCCCCTCTTCCTTCTCCCCATCCTCCACTCAACCCATCCAGGCCTCCTTTCATACGACCAGCCAGCCGTGTGTCGTCAATGCACAGCAGGGGAGTAACCGCCTGGAGAGAACAAGACAGTTAAGCAAAAGGGGGTTGGCACGGTGGAGAAAGAAAGGGTGGGATGGTTGAGCACTAAGGGGTTGACGGCTAGAGAGAAAACACTGTACATGGCTCTCCTCTACTGCATTGTATACCCATTTGATCTGAGCCATTTCACCCTATCAAAACAAGCCTTCTCCCATTATAAAGCGACTGGATGCACGTTCTCCCCTGCATGCTCTTGCGAACATACGAACGCAAAACGTCAGCTCACCTGCACACTCTTGCGAACAGCCGAAGTGAGCTTGGGATGTGACCGAATAAGGAGCGTGCACGCCCGCACACATGCAATCTGAAGCCCAACTTCCTCCTCCCCCAATGTGTATGATGCCTCTCCCACTGCGCTAGCTGCTGCCCCATCCGCCCCCCTGACCCTCATTATAAACCTCGGTGCACCACCACCACCACCAGCAGTTGCCGAGCCTGGACCCGAGCCTGGGCCCGAGCCTGTGCTTGAGCCTCGGGCTGGGCCTGCTGAGGAGCTAGATGTTGGTCCGGGGAGCGAGGTGGGGACAGAAGAAGGGAGAGGGGATGTAAAGAAGGAGGAAGACGCCGTGTATGACGCAAAGGAGGAGGTGGGTGCAGAGGAGGAGGCAGAGGAAGAGGAGGGGGGTGGTGTGAGTGGTGGTGGGGAGGGGATGGGAGGGAGGAAGAGCAGGCAGCAGCTGATGAGGTCGTCGCGGCTCTTCAGAGGGATAGAGGTGGTTTGTAGTGTGAATGTGGTTGGATGGGCGGGTGTTGCAAGCACAGTAGGATGAGGTGCTTTATGGACTGTAGATGGGACTGATGGGGTTGCTGAGTGTGGTGCTGACGCGGTGGTGAGAGCAGCAGAGGCGAGCATGTGAATGGCTTGAACAACCGCCATCCTTGCTGGGAGGGATGTCACTGCTGCCAGAGGTGTGAACACATTGGCCTCCTGCAGGGTAGCACGAGGAGAACAGCATGCGAGGGAACGGGGAGTATGGGGAGGTGATGCTGAGAGCAGCCGAGGCGAGCATGTGAATGGCTTGAACCACCACCGCCATCCATGCTGGGAGGGATGTCACTGCTGCCAAAGGAGCGAACACATTGGCCTGCTGCATGGTAATGGAAGGGGGATGGGAAGGGGGGTTGGGAGGAGAGGAGCACAAGAGGGGAGGGACGTGTGTTGAACTAGTGGTGAGAGCAACAGAGGCTAGCAAGTGTACGGCTTTCACCGCCGCCATCCTTGCTGGGACGCATGTCACTGCCGACAGAGGCGCAAACACATTGGCCTCCTGCATGGTAATGGAAGGGGCAAAACATGAGAGATCTTCGGACATATCCAGTGAGCGGCGGTGATGGGAGCTGGTAATAGAGTCTAGTTCTGAGGCGCCTCAAAACTAGACTCCTATCACATGGGAGCTGGTAATTGAAGGGGCAAAACATGGGAGGGGAGTGGAAGCGGAAATAGCGTGTTTCAAAACGTACAGATTTGGCGTTTGTAGAGGTGTCTAGTGAATGGAAAGCACAGAAAGCGTGACATGACACTGTGTGCTATCCGTGTCACCTGCCACATGCTACAGCATGTGGTAGGCAGCAATGCCATGGGTTACATTACATACATCATTCCCTTCCCTTCCACTCTCTCCCCACTCTACCCCAACTCTCTCCCCACTCTATCCCCACTCTATCCCCACTCTACCCCCACTCTATCCCCAATCCCTCCCCACTCTATCCTGGCTCTCCCCACTCTCCCCACTCTTTCCCCTCTCTCCCCGCTCTCTCCCGACGCTCTCTCCACTCTACCATGTGTTACACCAAGCATTACACCAAGCATTACACCAAGCATTACACCAAGCACTACACCAAGCATTACACCAAGCATTACACCAAGCATCACACCAAGCATCACACCAAGCATCACACCAAGCATTACACCAAGCATTACACCAAGCATTACACCAAGCATTACACCAAGCATTACACCAAGCATTACACCAAGCATTACACCAAGCATCACACCAAGCATCACACCAAGCATTACACCAAGCATTACACCAAGCATTACACCAAGCATTACACCAAGCATTACACCAAGCATTACACCAAGCATTACACCAAGCATTACACCAAGCATTACACCAAGCATTACACCAAGCATTACACCAAGCATTGCACCAAGCATTACACCAAGCATTGCACCAAGCATTCCGCCAACCATTACACCAACCATTACACCAACCATTACACCAAGCACTACACCAACCATTACACCAACCATTACACCAAGCATTACACCAAGCATCACACCAAGCATCACACCAAGCATTACACCAAGCATTACACCAAGCATTACACCAAGCATTACACCAAGCATCACACCAAGCATCACACCAAGCATCACACCAAGCATTACACCAAGCATTACACCAAGCATCACACCAAGCATTACACCAAGCATTGCACCAAGCATTACGCCAAGCATTACACCAAGCATTACACCAAGCATTACACCAAGCATTACACCATGCATGCACCACTACCTATGCCAAGCCATTTTGACTAACCAGCAGCGTTGTGATCCGTGCATTCACCACAGAAGCTTCCGAGAAGGCCACCGTGTACCCATACGTCAGCGCAAGCACAGAGCACACGTCATCATGCATCAGCGGGTCCCGCAGGAAGTCAGCAGCTGCTGACGTGGCAGTCTCCTTCTTGAAGAGGCGCTCGAGAGGCGGGAGAGTGAGCTTGGGGGCGGAAGAGGAGGAGGAGGAGGATTTAGGAATGAAGATGGCGGATTGAGAGCCGAGGGTTCTGACGAATTGGTATATCCTGGAGACGGGTGAGGGGGTTAGGAAGGCATGGGTATATCCTGGACACGAATATCATGGGTGGGAAACGAAGGCATAGGAAGGAGGGTTAGGGGAATATTTTGAGAGAAAGGAGGGATGAGTCAGATGTGATAGGAAGGGGAGGGGGGAAAGCGTGAAACGAACCTTCTGTTTTGGATTGGAGGCAGAGCAGGACTCACGGACTTGGCTTGGAGAGATGATGGGGAGAAAACGAGGCATACCGTTGCAGATTGGAGACTGAGTAGGTGTCAAGGACTTGCTCCAAGGTGGCCAGAACCACATCCAGATGAGCAGATGCCACCTGCAGTACGGAGAAATGTTTAGAGCGGAAAGGTAGAGTAGAAGAATAAAAAGTAAGATTGGCGACATAGTAGGTGTCGAGGGCTTGATCTAAGGTGGCCAGAACCACATCCAGACGAGCAGCTGCCACCTGCAGTGGTGAGAGGGCAGAGCAGGGATGGAGAAGGAAGAAATATTAATCAAGTAGAAGATTGGAGACGCTCTAAGGACCTTGGAAGACAGATAAGGTGCCTAGGACTCGCTCCAAGGTGGCTGGAACGAGGACAGACGGAGTGTGGAGCAGAGCAGAGTAAGTCCTGGCCAGGAGTCAAACTTCGCACTCCACTCCAAAACGGAGCGCGGGGTGGAGAGTCGAACATGAAGGGTGGACAGGCCCCAACCCAGAGGAGCGCATCTGAAGTCCTTGACAGGCGAACACAAACAGGCGAACACAAACAGGCGAACACAAACAGGCGAACACAAACAGGCAAACACAAACAGGCAAACACAAACAGGCGAACACAAACAGGTGAACACAAACAGGCGAACACAAACAGGCAAACACAAACAGGCAAACACAAACAGGCGAACACAAACAGGCGAACATGGAGCCTGAAAGTGACGCAACTCACAGCGCCAAGCCCCATCGCAAGAGCATGTCGGTCGAGCGGTTCCGAGAGGGTAGCCGAGTCAAACATGAGCGCCACCCGACGCTGAATGAAGACTGCGTCTGATGCCCGCTGGACAAGCGCTCCCATGCATCTGGCGTGTAGGGCACAAAGAAACACGAGCATCTCTCCCATGCGGTCAGAGAGAGGTCAGCCGAGTTAAACATGAGCATCGCGGTCCCCATGGGCTCATGCTGCATCTGATGCCCTTTGAACCAACGCTCCCATGCACCTAATGCAAGGCGGGAAAGTAGAGAGAGGAGAAAAGAGTAGAAGGGAAGGGAGGAGCAGAGAGTAGAGGTCGAGAGTAGAGAGGAAAGAGGAGGAGAGAACATGGAAGACTTTTGAGGCGCCTCAAAAGAGGAGGAGAGAACATGGAAAGACTTTTGAGGCGCCTCAAAAGAGGAGGAGAGAACATGGAAGACAAGAGGAAGGAGAGGAGGGAAACACCCACATGCGTATACGCATGCATGCAATTCTTGAGTGCGCTGCTCTCAGAACGCACCTGTGCAGCAGAATGTGCTGATTTGAATCAAGACAAGCCCACGAGTAGCTTTTGAGTCGACTCACAAGCAGACTCATTACACGCGTTTTTTTTGTCGACTAAATAGTGGACTTGTATCAAGACAAGCCTGCGAGTAGGATGAAGGGGAGCCATCACACACGCACCCATGCCCCCCCCCTTCACCCCCCCTCCTCCCCCTCCCCCTCCCACACACACACACATGCGCGCGCGTCCGCACACCTGTAGTCAACTCAAAGCGCACCTGTGCAGCAGAATGTGCTGGCTCGCATCGAGACATGGCCACGAGTAGAAGGCAGCAAAGCCGTCGCACACCCGAGCTGTCCAGTCAGCATTGCCCACCGTATCAACAGCTCTCAGCAACATCTGGGGAAAGAGAGGAGGAACAGACAATCCAGGAAAGAGAAAGCCAGGGTAAGAATCATGGCAGCGAACTCATCAACCCAGGCTGATCAGTCAGCATTGTCCACTGTATCAGCTGCTCGCTGCAGCATCTACCAAGGCGACCCAAGGGCATTGCAGCGCAGGAGATAAATCGATAAATTGCGACAGGGCACATAACGAGTGAGACCACGAACACAAATGCGCGGAATGACCATTCCTTCTCGTATTTTTATTATTATTATTATGATTATGATTATTATTATTATTATCATCATCCGGGAAATGTTGGTTTCTTCGAATTCTCAAAATCAGCTTATTTTGTTCTATCCAGGGAAAGTGCTCCAACTTGTTTCTGAACGAGAGCAACTTGCCTTCATTGTGGCATCCTGCCACACGGATCTTCTGCACTCTGATTGGCTGCCACTCCCAGCCCTATCGCTGTGTCGTGGACGCTCAGCCAGGAGCTTCATATGCTGGATCTGGTGAGAGAAGAAGTGAGGAAGAGGGGAAGAGACGGAGAGAGGAAGAGGGGTAGTTATGTTGTGAAGGTTCTAAACAGATTGCAGAACTAGCTAGATCAAGTGTTGAGCGGATGACAGTGTACACAGTTCCTACTTAAGACGTATCAATCACAAGTAAGTTGGCCAAAAGTACAGCAAACAATACGCGAGCTGGGCAGCGGGGAGAGAAGCTTACATCGAGGGCCATGGCTCCAATAGCGGATGGAAGAGTGCTTTGCCGAACAAACTCAAGCACCTGCAGAGCCATACATTATTGGAAGGGAGGATGGAAGATGGACATCAACCAAGAAGTCTAAAGAAATGGTCTTGCTCGAGATGTGGATGTTAAGTCACTGGAAAGGAGAGAGCAGAAGACATTGGGTCAATGAATGCCCATTGGGTCACAGAGCTCATAGCAGCCGCCTGGTAGGCAGGGAAACCATTTCTTAGCAGCTCTTAGCAGCTGCCTGTTAGTGGGGTATTCAATGAGCACTGCTGCTCATTGCCTAGCCCACTAACCACACGGGCTTGCAGCAATCTCACCAGATTTATCTACAGTTTTTCTTGTCTACGACCAAAGGCTTCCGGTTGAAATTTATCTATGGCTTGTCTTGTCTGCGACGACCCAAGGGACAACACCCGAAAGATCCTAGTCCCGCTCCTTGTCTAGCCTCTTCCAAATATGTCTACAACTCGTCTTGTCTACGACCCACTGAACAGCACCTGAAATATCCTCGTCCTTCGCTGTCCATCAGTGAGAGTCTTGTCGCTACCAAGCAGAATGAGCAGCCGTGGCAGAAGCTCCTGTGTGGGTGCAAATCAAAAGAAAGGCAGATGGCAGCATGCGGAGTCTATTTTTGAGGCGCCTCAAAAAAAGGCAGATGGCAACGAAGATGGTGGTAGCATTTTCTGTGCTAACACGTGATTCAGTGGCGAATTGAGAGAGACTGCTTTTGAGGCGCCTCAAAAGCAGCTCCTGTGTAGGTGCAAATCAAAGAAAGGCAGATGGCAGCGAAGATGGTGGTAGCATTTTTTGTGCTAACACGTGATTTGGTGGTTGTTCGACATCCTTTGTTACCCGCCAATCAGTGTCTCGTAGCTTCCAAGCAGACATGGCAGAAGCTCATGGGCGAAGAGCAGTCTGCAGCAAGAATGCATGTACACTACTAGTGCATCTTCGGAGGGAAAGGAAAATGTGGCTGGCCAGTACCTGGAAAAAGCTGAGGGTGTGTGTCATGAGTCGATTTTTTAGTCGACTCAGAAATCGACTCATTACCTTCGGAGGGAAAGGAAAATGTGGCTGGACAGTACCTGGCAAAAGCGGAGGGAAAGAACCCTCCTCATTCCCTTGCAAACAGAGATCGACTGACATACCTCCAGTGGTGGCAGCTTAAACTGCGAAAGCCCCCTGATCTCCCTCTCTGCACTCGCATCCTTCTCCCCCACACCAATGCTCGTTCCCACCGTGCCTCCTCTAACTCCTCCCTCTCCTGCGTCCCCTTCGCCCCTTCTCTCACTAATTCCTCTCCCTCCCTCAATTCCTCCCGCACTCGTTCCTTCTCCCGCTGCTGCTCCATCTCCTGCTGCTTGTACTCCTGAGTCCGCTCCTACCTCCAAGTGAGAAGCGGAAGGTGACTTTCGAGATATAATAGTGGATAAGCATTGCAGAACCTGCAGCCAGACACCCAGAGTACCGGGCAACAAAGGAATAAAGGAGAGAGAGAGAGAGGGGGGGGGGAAAACACTCACAGAGACCTGTGCATTCAGTGGATGAAAGAAGAGCTCGAACGCACAGGCGCAGTGGCCTTTACACGAGAAGTGTTCATGTTTCTAGGCTGGTCCAAGGCACATACAACATGGAGATGAAAGCAAGGAGAAATTAACACACACAAAAGTGAATGCATTAAAGATGCAATAAAAGCTGTAACCAATGGCAAGACATGGTTACCAGCAGCAAAATGTGGTTACCAGTGGCAAGATGCAGTCGAGGCTTGACTTGACCAGCGATCTTAGCAGCGCCAGCAGCATCACATCCTGGAGCATTGATAGCAGCAAGCCAGTGTGCCACACATGGAGAAGGAAGCAAGGGAAGGGAGAGAAGTCTTTTGAGGCGCCTTTGAGGTGGCTTCTTTTGAGGCGCCTCAAAAGCAGGCTTGACTTAACCAGGGACCTAAGCAGCGCCAGCAGCGTCACATCCTTGAGCATTGGTAGCAGCAAGCCAGTGTACCACACGTGGAGACGGAAGCCAGTGTACCTCCACGTGTGGTACACGTGGAGCATTGATAGCAGTAAGCCAGTGTACCACTCCACACGTTGAGACGGAAGCAAGGGATGGGAGGGAAGTAAGATGAAAGGAGACGGGAACCGAGGAGCGAGATTGGCTGACGCAGGCCTGCAAAAAAAGATGGAGGGAAGAGCAAAACGGTTTGCTCTGATGCATCGCATAAATGTCTCCTAAGAAGCCACCTTTTGAGACACCCAAAGCCCAGCCACTCACGTCTGAGCCCAACTACTCACATCCCTGGGATGGGCAGTACTAGCAAGAATGATCGATCCCTTGCAGCAGACTAGAGACTAGTTTACAACACATGATACAGAAAGTCCCCTCAAAGGCAGGTATCTTACACGCCATATTAATCCGTGACTCACATCCATGGTATTGGGCATCCTAGCTAATACCCTCAAAGGAAGACCCCTCAAGGGACGGTATTAGCGAGGATGCTCAATCCCTTGGAGCAGACATGACACAGAACACAGAGACTCCTCAAAGGCAGTTATCTTACAAGTCATACCATACGAATTCGAGACTCACATCCATAGTGTGGACGGTATTAGCGAGGATGCTCAATCCCTTGCTGCAGACCTGGTACAGAGACCCTTGAAACGCAATTATCTCAAAAGTCATACAAATCAACGGCTTACATCCATAGTGTGGACGGTATTAGCGAGGATGCTCAATCCCTTGCTGCAGACCTGGTACAGAGACCCCTCATCCCCTCCACCTCCTGCCGCCCTCCTCCTCGCCTCCCTTCCTGTTGGCCCCCCTCCACCACTGCTGATGCTGGTGCTGCTGGTGCTGCTGGCGTCAATGGCAGAAGAGGAGGAGGAGAGAGAGGAGGAGGGGGCGGGGCGGAAGGAGCGGCCGGCTTGGGAGATGAGGAAGAAGAGGAGGTGGTAGGCGGGGACTGGGTGAGCTGGCAGCAGCTGATTGGTGGCTGCCATGGCGAGGATGAGCTGATGAGAACACGATAAGAGAGAATGATGAGAAGGGTTTGAAAAACAGAGACAGTTGGCGACATGGCATGGCGACAAAAGCAGATTGAAGAACGAAAGAGCTGATGGCATGGTGACAGCCTGACAGGATTCGGATTGTGATAGTGGTGACAAGATTCGAGCAGCCAGCAGGCATTTGGAGGGGCTGTGCTGGTGCAAAGAGGATTTAGAGGCCCCGCCAAAGACTCAAGCTGGTGGGGTCGAGACGAGCTCAAACGACAAGTCAAAACGGGTACCTGCTAGTATGGAGTCATTTTTTAGAATTCTAAAAAAAACATAAACCTGCTAGTATAAGGCCGGGTTAGAAGACTTCAACTGAACGATCTCCTTGCGTGACTCGTCACACGGCACGTTCCTTGGCACGATCACAGCTGCTCCTAGCAGGGACGAGCAAGCAGCACTCCAAACCACCTCCACTACCCCCACTGGCCACAGAAGCACCGCCTCTATCGGCAACAGTTGTGCTACTGGTAACTCTACTGAACAAACACCTCCCTCACCTGGAAGATCTCCTTGCTCGTCTCGCCACACGGCACGTTCCTGGGCACGATCACAGCTGCTCCCAGCAGGGACGAGCAAGTAGCACTCCACTCCAACTCCACTGCTCCTACTGGCCGTGGAAGCACCGCCTCTATCGGCAACAGTTGTGCTACTGGTAACTCTACTGAACGAAAACCTCCCTCACCTGAAAAATCTCCTTGCGTGACTCGTCACACGGCACGTTCCTGGGCACAATTACAGCTGCTCCCAGCAGGGACGAGCAAGCAGCGGTTCACTCCACCTCCACTGATCCCACTAGCCGCAACAGCCCCGCCTCTATCAGCAACAGTTGTGCCACTGGTAACTCTACTGAACAAACACCTCCCTCACCTGGACGATTTCCTTGCGTGTCTCGTCACACGGCACGTTTCTGGGCACGATCACAGCTGACCCCAGTAGCGAAGCACACGCGGCACTCCACTCCACCTCCACTGCGTCCACCGGCTTCAGAATCACCGCCTCTATCGGCGACACCCCTGCTGCTGCCCCTCCTCCTGCCCCTCCTCCCATTCCTCCACCACCTCCTCCCGTGGCCCCTCCTGCCCCTCCCGCACTCCCCCCTGTTCCTCCCCCTACCCCTCCTCCCCCCTCACCCCCTCTTGGGCAAGCCGTGATCCCAGCAGGGCTAGATGGTTCACTAGTGGGGAGGCTTGAGGAGTGACTCAAGGAGGAGTGGCCCTGTCCCCAGCCCAGAGCGAAAATATCCTGTGCTGACGTGTCCTGCCCGCTCTCCATGGCCTCTTCTGATTGGACGATGTAGATCGCCCCCTGGCAGAACTGCTCCTCGCTCCCCGCCCACACTTGCGGCATGCTGTGTGGAGTGAGAGAGGATAGACAGGAAGAGAGGGTACGCAGTAAGAGACGGTGAGCAATAAGACATGCAACTTTTTTAGTAGATTCAGAAGTCATTCCGCCCAGACTTGCGGCATTCAGTGGAGTAAGGGGAGAATGGACGGACTATATGAGACGGTAAGCGGTAAGACATGTGACTTCTGGGTCGAGTCAAAAGCCACCCCGCCCGCACCTTACGCATGCTGTGGTGTGGAGCGATGGAGGAGGCACATGAAGGGGTGGTGAGAAGTTAGACATGCAACTTTTGGGCCAACTTTGAAATCATTCCGCTCGCACTTGAGGGATGCTGTGGAGTGGAGTGAGAGAGAATCCACAGTAAGAGATGGTGCTTTGTGTCGACTCAAGAGTCACTGCCCACACTTGAGACATGCTGTTGAGCGAGAAAGGATGCACAATACGGAATCGTATCCAGTGAGATACGCCTCGTACCACGTGGCACAACGTCAACGAGCCATGCATTCATGCAGCACAATGCAACGCACCTGGTCACAATGCGGCGCAGAAGAACAAGAGCCCCCTGCCTGATGCGTGCATCCACTCCCCTGTGGGCTGCTCTCTGCATGGCAACGAGGGAGTAAGGCAGGAAAGCAACGATTCTGAGAAGGCAGGTGTGGGAGAGAAAGTGGGGAAAAAGCATGTGAGCAGAAGAAGAAGGTTCGTGCAGGTGGGAGGGAGAGGCAGAACGAGAAAGAGATGCCTGTGTACCTGGATGGTAAAAGCGCATGCATGTTGTGGGAATGCTTCCGTGATGATGGTGCACCGCATGGCTGCATTAAGTGTTGAGACGTCTCAAAACGAAAGGCCTGCTTACCTGGATGGCGAAAGCGCATGCATGTTGTGGGAATGCCTCTGTGATGGTCATGGTGCACCGCATGGCTGCATTCAGGCCCTGCAGACGTCGTCAGGTGGAAGCATGAGGGGGGGGGGGAAGGGGGGGGGGGGGTTTTGCGGCGCCAAAAAAATCGTTTCATTTTGAGGCGCCTCGAAAATCCGTGATGGTGTTGGCTCATGGTGCACCACATGGCTGCCTTCAGACCCTGCAAACAACGTCAGGTGGAAGCATGGGGGGATGCATGGGGGGGTGCATGGGGGGGTGCATGGGGGGGTGCATGGCGGGGTGCATGGCGGGGTGCATGGGGGGGTGCATGGGGGCATGGACGGGATGCAAGGAGAAAACTCATAGGTGATTCCGCACTGAGTTCTGAAGAGCACATACTGCAGTAATTATGCAAGAGGGATGCATGCACTTGAGCGCCTACATGGCTGGACAGCTGGACAATTCACGGAACCGGCGGCAGCACACAGGGCAGAAAGACAGGGAAGCAGCTATGAGACAAGACTTACAGTGATGGTGGTGCGGATATCAGCAGTGTTGGAGCCCAGTCGGCTGGTGTAGTGGCCAGTCAGGGCGAACAGGAACTCCAGAGTGGGCAGCAACACCTGGAGGTGTGTGAGGTAGACCAGAACATGAGAACGTGAAGACTTGTGAGTCGACTCAAAAGCAACACCAGGGCAGGGGGTGTGTGGGGTAGACCAGAACATGAGAACGTGAAGACTTGTGAGTCGACTCAAAAGCACCACCAGGGGGTGTGTGGGGTGGACCAGACCAGAACATGAGAACGTGAACGGGAAGCAGACACTGGCCCTAGAACAGCAACATACATGGAAAGAAAGAAGGTATGACAGCTAGATTTCTCCTATTGCACTAGCATATCGTATTTCTGTGTGAAACGTGAGTAATAGGTTGAACATGATTAAACGTGATAAAATAATCACGTCTTGTATCAGCATGTCGAACCTTTGGGTTGAGCCCATGCTTTGGTCGTCCAAGTGCCATTGCTGCGCCACCACCAGCTTTACCACCAGCAGAACTAGCAGCACCAGGACCAGCCACACCACCCTGGAAATCAGATGAAACCTGCACTGGTAAAACCTGCTCAACTTGCCCCCCTGCCACAGAGACTGGACCAGAATCTGTGTTACCCCCGCCGCCGCCGCCGCTGTTGCTGCTGCTGCTGTTGCTGCTGCTGCTGCTGGTAGATTCTGTGTTGGAAGCACCGTCTGGGTCAGGGCTGCCCCCAAGAAGAGCTCTCAAGAGAGTACTGAGGCTTTCTGTAATGAGTACGTGCTGATACTCCTCGGGCTCCTTGCCGTATCTGGAGAACAAAAGGGACGGAAGGGGCGGGACAATGGAAAGCGTGCCAAGTAGATGGACAGGAATGCTGTAGTGCGATGCCATAGACGAACAGGGGTATTGGAATGTGAAGAGCACAGACTGAGGGGTCACACCATGTGAATGGGAGACAAGTAAGGGTGAAGTTTTGAGGCGCCTCGAAACTTGTAGTGTGATGCCTTAGACGAACAGGGGTATTGGAATGTGAAGAGCACAGACTGAGGGGTCACACCATGTGAATGGGAGACAAGTAAGGGTGAAGTTTTGAGGCGCCTCGAAACTTGTAGTGTGATGCCTTAGACGAACAGGGGTATTGGAATGTGAAGAGCACAGACTGAGGGGTCACACCATGTGAATGGGAGACAAGTAAGGGTGAAGTTTTGAGGCGCCTCGAAACTTGTAGTGTGATGCCTTAGACGAACAGGGGTATTGGAATGTGAAGAGCACAGACTGAGGGGTCACACCATGTGAATGGGAGACAAGGGTGAAGTTTTGAGGCGCCTCGAAACTTGTAGTGTGATGCCTTAGACGAACAGGGGTATTGGAATGTGAAGAGCACAGACTGAGGGGTCACACCATGTGAATGGGAGACAAGTAAGGGTGAAGTTTTGAGGCGCCTCGAAACTTGTAGTGTGATGCCTTAGACGAACAGGGGTATTGGAATGTGAAGAGCACAGACTGAGGGGTCACACCATGTGAATGGGAGACAAGTAAGGGTGAAGTTTTGAGGCGCCTCGAAACTTGTAGTGTGATGCCTTAGACGAACAGGGGTATTGGAATGTGAAGAGCACAGACTGAGGGGTCACACCATGTGAATGGGAGACAAGTAAGGGTGAAGTTTTGAGGCGCCTCGAAACTTGTAGTGTGATGCCTTAGACGAACAGGGGTATTGGAATGTGAAGAGCACAGACTGAGGGGTCACACCATGTGAATGGGAGACAAGTAAGGGTGAAGTTTTGAGGCGCCTCGAAACTTGTAGTGTGATGCCTTAGACGAACAGGGGTCTTGGAATGTGAAGAGCACAGACTGAGGGGTCACACCATGTGAATGGGAGACAAGTAAGGGTGAAGTTTTGAGGCGCCTCGAAACTTGTAGTGTGATGCCTTAGACGAACAGGGGTCTTGGAATGTGAAGAGCACAGACTGAGGGGGCACACCATGTGAATGGGAGACAGGTAAGGGTGAAGTTTTGAGGCGCCTCGAAACTTGTAGTGTGATGCCATAGACGTAGAGGGTCTTGGAGTATGAAGAGTACAGACCGAGGGGCCACAAAATGTGGATGGGAGCATGTAGCTCTACTAAGAGCCGAGGGTGGGGTGCAGGTAGCTCTACTCTACTGCACTCATGAGCGCACTGTCAGGCGGATCCTTACAAAGCCTCACACTCACACAGATACACCCACCCTCAAAGCCTCACACTCACACAAACACACACTCACACAAACACTCACAGGGAGCGGAGGGCAGGCAGCAGGGCGCTGAGGGTGGAGCGCAGGTAGCTCTCCTGCAGCAGAAACGCCATCTCTGCCATGGCCTTTGCCGTGGCCAGGCGGGCCTGCAGGGAGGGATATTTGGGGAAGAGATCAACTATATCAACAGGAGTTTGGCATGCCTCAACACAGGAGCTCTCCTGCAGCAGAAACGCCATTTCCACCATGGCCTTGGCTGTGGCCAGACGGGCTTGCAGGGAGGAAAAAGAAGGGGGGGGGAAGAGGGAGTGGGGGGAAGGGGTGGAGAGGCAAATGAGGATGCAGGGGAATAAGCTCCTTACTATTACTATGTCTCAACACAAGAAGCTCCAGTGCTCCAGAAATGGCACCTCTGCCATGGCTTTGGCCGTGGCTAGACGGGGAAAGCAAAATGGACACAGAAACGGCAGGAAGTTGAAGGGTTTGGGGCTTACCGGTGTGGAGGAAGAGAGGAGCCATCGCTGCAGGAAAAGGTCGAATGCAGACTGCAGGAGAGCCCTGGGAGAGAGACGTGACAGGAAGCACGGGGGGGAAAAGGGCGAGTGGCACTTTTTGAGGCGAATACAAATTTAAGAGAGGAGCCAGAGCCACGGAAAGAGGTCAAATGTAGATTGCAGGAAAGCCCTGGGAGAGAGAGAAAGGGTGCAGAGGGATAACAGGGCAATGGCATGGTGATGGTGGAACATGGTGTGATTTGGTTTGAGACAAGGCGAACCTTATAAAACAAACCTTGTATCACAAGGCAACGGCATGGTGATGGGGGGACATGGTGGGATGAGAGTTACCATGGGCCGCCCATGGCACACCACGTATTTTGTAAGAGACAGCGACGCACGCACAGCATCCCAATGCAGCACGAAAGCCTTGAAGTACGACTGCATCTCCGTCAAACTTCAACCCTGAAACCAGATGCAGACGTCCCAACTCACACAGTCTCTTCCCAGTCTTCAACCGTCCAAGGAATATTTCTCAACGAATCCAACGGTGCTGGTGTCACGACAGAAATGCCCGACCCTCCCTCCGGATTCACCTCGCCTCTAGCCTCCCTTGCTCCTGCCTCCTCTCCTCCTCCCAAAGCACCATGCCTATCTCTTCCCCTTCCTCCCTCCCTCCTTCCATTCTCCTGAAACGCCCGCACAATAGCCATGCCTTGCCCATGCGTGAATGCCCTGCACCAGTGGCTCATGGCTGGAGTGGCAGGTTGGCAGGTGGCACAGGGGGCGAGGAGGGGAACAAGGGAGAGGAGTACACCAAGGTCTTCACTCATGGGAATACATGGGAGCCATGTCGCGCTCTAGTGGTGTGTTTGACTCAACTCAAAACACGGCAGGGAGGGGAAAAGGGGAGGAAAAGTGCTTTTGAGAGTTGTAAAAAACACGGCGGGGAGGGGGAAAGGGGGGAAAAGTGCTTTTGAGAATTCTAAAAAACAACTCGGGGGGGGAAAAAGGGGGGGAAAGTGCATGGAGGAGTTGACGTGTGGGAATACTGGGAGCTCTGCCGTGCTCTCTAGTGGTGTGCAAATGGCCAGCATCTGCAATGAATACAGGTGAAAGAAAGGCTGATTGATACATGAGGCACTACTAAAACATGAAGGCCTTTGCATGCCAGGCGGGAAGAGAGAGGGAGATGTGTCAGTGGGTGGTTTGCTCTCACCATCGGCAAAGACGTGCTTGTGCATCTCAGTGACAGTCCGCAGCTGGGGAACAATGTGACTCTTGAGTCATCTTCAATGAGAAAGGGAGGTGTGTCAGTGCGTGGTTTGCTCTCACCATCGGCAAAGACGTGCTTGTGCATCTCAGTGACAGTCCGCAGCTGGGGAACAATGTGACTCTTGAGTCATCTTCAATGAGAAAGGGAGGTGTGTCAGTGCGTGGTTTGCTCTCACCATCGGCAAAGACGTGCTTGTGCATCTCAGTGACAGTCCGCAGCTGGGGAACAATGTGACTCTTGAGTCATCTTCAATGAGAAAGGGAGGTGTGTCAGTGCGTGGTTTGCTCTCACCATCGGCAAAGACGTGCTTGTGCATCTCAGTGACAGTCCGCAGCTGGGGAACAATGTGACTCTTGAGTCATCTTCAATGAGAAAGGGAGGTGTGTCAGTGCGTGGTTTGCTCTCACCATCGGCAAAGACGTGCTTGTGCATCTCAGTGACAGTCCGCAGCTGGGGAACAATGTGACTCTTGAGTCATCTTCAATGAGAAAGGGAGGTGTGTCAGTGCGTGGTTTGCTCTCACCATCGGCAACGACGTGCTTGTGCATCTCAGTGACAGTCCGCAGCTGGGGAACAATGTGACTCTTGAGTCATCTTCAATGAGAAAGGGAGGTGTGTCAGTGCGTGGTTTGCTCTCACCATCGGCAAAGACGTGCTTGTGCATCTCACTGACAGTCCGCAGCTGGGGAACAATGTGACTCTTGAGTCATCTTCAATGAGAAAGGGAGGTGTGTCAGTGCGTGGTTTGCTCTCACCATCGGCAAAGACGTGCTTGTGCATCTCAGTGACAGTCCGCAGCTGGGGAACAATGTGACTCTTGAGTCATCTTCAATGAGAAAGGGAGGTGTGTCAGTGCGTGGTTTGCTCTCACCATCGGCAAAGACGTGCTTGTGCATCTCAGTGACAGTCCGCAGCTGGGGAACAATGTGACTCTTGAGTCATCTTCAATGAGAAAGGGAGGTGTGTCAGTGCGTGGTTTGCTCTCACCATCGGCAAAGACGTGCTTGTGCATCTCACTGACAGTCCGCAGCTGGGGAACAATGTGACTCTTGAGTCATCTTCAATGAGAAAGGGAGGTGTGTCAGTGCGTGGTTTGCTCTCACCATCGGCAAAGACGTGCTTGTGCATCTCACTGACAGTCCGCAGCTGGGGAACAATGTGACTCTTGAGTCATCTTCAATGAGAAAGGGAGGTGTGTCAGTGCGTGGTTTGCTCTCACCATCGGCAAAGACGTGCTTGTGCATCTCAGTGACAGTCCGCAGCTGGGGAACAATGTGACTCTTGAGTCATCTTCAATGAGAAAGGGAGGTGTGTCAGTGCGTGGTTTGCTCTCACCATCGGCAAAGACGTGCTTGTGCATCTCAGTGACAGTCCGCAGCTGGGGAACAATGTGACTCTTGAGTCATCTTCAATGAGAAAGGGAGGTGTGTCAGTGCGTGGTTTTCTCTCACCATCGGCAAAGACGTGCTTGTGCATCTCACTGACAGTCCGCAGCTGGGGAACAATGTGACTATTGAGTCATCTTCAATGAGAAAGGGAGGTGTGTCAGTGGGTGGTTTGCTCTCACCATCGGCAAAGACGTGCTTGTGCATCTCAGTGACAGTCCGCAGCTGGGGAACAATGTGACTCTTGAGTCATCTTCAATGAGAAAGGGAGGTGTGTCAGTGCGTGGTTTGCTCTCACCATCGGCAAAGACGTGCTTGTGCATCTCAGTGACAGTCCGCAGCTGGGGAACAATGTGACTCTTGAGTCATCTTCAATGAGAAAGGGAGGTGTGTCAGTGCGTGGTTTGCTCTCACCATCGGCAAAGACGTGCTTGTGCATCTCACTGACAGTCCGCAGCTGGGGAACAATGTGACTCTTGAGTCATCTTCAATGAGAAAGGGAGGTGTGTCAGTGCGTGGTTTGCTCTCACCATCGGCAAAGACGTGCTTGTGCATCTCACTGACAGTCCGCAGCTGGGGAACAATGTGACTCTTGAGTCATCTTCAATGAGAAAGGGAGGTGTGTCAGTGCGTGGTTTGCTCTCACCATCGGCAAAGACGTGCTTGTGCATCTCAGTGACAGTCCGCAGCTGGGGAACAATGTGACTCTTGAGTCATCTTCAATGAGAAAGGGAGGTGTGTCAGTGCGTGGTTTGCTCTCACCATCGGCAAAGACGTGCTTGTGCATCTCAGTGACAGTCCGCAGCTGGGGAACAATGTGACTCTTGAGTCATCTTCAATGAGAAAGGGAGGTGTGTCAGTGCGTGGTTTTCTCTCACCATCGGCAAAGACGTGCTTGTGCATCTCACTGACAGTCCGCAGCTGGGGAACAATGTGACTATTGAGTCATCTTCAATGAGAAAGGGAGGTGTGTCAGTGGGTGGTTTGCTCTCACCATCGGCAAAGACGTGCTTGTGCATCTCAGTGACAGTCCGCAGCTGGGGAACAATGTGACTCTTGAGTCATCTTCAATGAGAAAGGGAGGTGTGTCAGTGCGTGGTTTGCTCTCACCATCGGCAAAGACGTGCTTGTGCATCTCACTGACAGTCCGCAGCTGGGGAACAATGTGACTCTTGAGTCATCTTCAATGAGAAAGGGAGGTGTGTCAGTGCGTGGTTTGCTCTCACCATCGGCAAAGACGTGCTTGTGCATCTCAGTGACAGTCCGCAGCTGGGGAACAATGTGACTCTTGAGTCATCTTCAATGAGAAAGGGAGGTGTGTCAGTGCGTGGTTTGCTCTCACCATCGGCAAAGACGTGCTTGTGCATCTCAGTGACAGTCCGCAGCTGGGGAACAATGTGACTCTTGAGTCATCTTCAATGAGAAAGGGAGGTGTGTCAGTGCGTGGTTTTCTCTCACCATCGGCAAAGACGTGCTTGTGCATCTCACTGACAGTCCGCAGCTGGGGAACAATGTGACTATTGAGTCATCTTCAATGAGAAAGGGAGGTGTGTCAGTGGGTGGTTTGCTCTCACCATCGGCAAAGACGTGCTTGTGCATCTCAGTGACAGTCCGCAGCTGGGGAACAATGTGACTCTTGAGTCATCTTCAATGAGAAAGGGAGGTGTGTCAGTGCGTGGTTGGCTCTCACCATCGGCAAAGACGTGCTTGTGCATCTCAGTGACAGTCCGCAGCTGGGGAACAATGTGACTCTTGAGTCATCTTCAATGAGAAAGGGAGGTGTGTCAGTGCGTGGTTTGCTCTCACCATCGGCAAAGACGTGCTTGTGCATCTCGGTGACAGTCAGCAGCTGGGGAACGATCTTCCTCAGAATACTGGGCCACACAGCACGGAACACGGCAGCTGGACATGGGGAATGGGGAGGGGAGGGGGGGGAGGGGAGGGAGTGGAACACGTGATCGTGCATGCTTGTGCATCTCAGTGACAGTCAGCAGCTGGGGAACGATCCTCAGAACACTGGGCCACACAGCACGGAACACAGCAGCTGGACAGGGGGAATGGGGAGGGGAGGGGGAGGGGGGGGGGGGGGGGTGGAGGGGGGAGAGGGAGTGGAAGACGTGATTGTGCGTGTTTGTGATTCTCAGTGACAGTCAGCAGCTGGGGAACGATCTTCCTCAGAACTGTGGACCACAGTGCGGGGAACATAGCAGCTGGAAATGGGGAAGGGGGGAGTAGGGGAGCAGGGGGAAGGGGGGTGGGGGGGGAGGAGGAGGGGAAGAACACCTTGTGCATCTCAGTGACAGTCAGCAGCTGTGGCACAATCTTCCTTATGACAGTGGGCCACACAGCACGGAACCCAGCACGTGGACACGGAAAATTTGGAGAAGTAGAGAGGGAAGGAGAGGGAGAGAGGGGGAGGACCGTTCGAGAGGACCGTTCGAGAGGGGGAGGGGGAGCGGAGGGGTGAGGAGACAGAGACAAAATCGTAAAACACGCTTTGGAGATCCGTGTGAGGAGAAGCTTTGAAGGGTAATCGTGCTTTCGTAACATTTGCTAAACTAGGCGTTGTGCTCTGCTTTTTAGAATTCTCAAAAGATCCGTGTGAGGAGAAGCTTGGAAGGGTAATCGTGATTTCAAAATGACAGCTAAAGAAGGAGCTGAGCTCTCGCTGCTGTACTCTAAGGTATTCCGAGAAGACCTAGAACGAAAAATGCTATAGAATCACTTACGTCGGTTCTTTGCCATCTGTCCGAACGCGTCTGCAATGAGGTGCAGTGGCGGCTGTGGGGCACGAAAAACCTCCTCCAAAACCTGTGCACGTGTCGTGTCAGGCAAGAAGAAAGCGGTGCAAAACATGCTGTTGAGGCCTACCAGAACCCCAGTGGCAGAAAAACAGATGGAAGGTACAGAACAAAACAGACAACACAAGGTTACAGGAAGACAACAGACGATGGGTGCTAGGTTGCAAAGACAAGCAGACAAGGAGTTTCAAACTGGCTGTAATCAGATTGCATGAAGCCAATGCCCTATGGGTCCACTTTTGAGTCGACTCAAAAGTCACCAGGCTGTAATCAGATTGCATGAAGCCAATGCCCTATGGGTCCACTTTTGAGTCGACTCAAAAGTCACCAGGCTGTAATCAGATTGCATGAAGCCAATGCCCTATGGGTCCACTTTTGAGTCGACTCAAAAGTCACCAGGCTGTAATCAGATTGCATGAAGCCAATGCCCTATGGGTCCACTTACCAATGGAGTGGACGCAGCTGCTACAGCCGTGATCACAGATGCTACAGCCATGTTCAGAGGCGAGCCAATGTCCTGCATCAAAAGCACATCCCCATCAGATCCAACATGCTACTGAGCTCATCAACGGTTACACAGACGCGTGTTCACAGATGCTACAGCCACAGTGACATAATACTTAGTTGCATGGCGACATCCAAACGAGATGGGAGGTCTAGGGAGCCGAGAAAGAGAGGAGGAACAAGTCATCTTGTAGAAGACGAGATGGCACCTGAGCACTGCCGGTGCCTGACCTCCCTGCCACTTGCATCTCTGCTATCGCCAGCTTCATACTCTGCACCAGCATGCTGTGATCCGACACTCGTTTAGGCAGGCAACACGAAAGACGCACCTGAGCACTGCCCGTGCCTGACCTCCCTGCCACTTGCATCTCTGCTATCGCCAGCTTCATACACTGCACCAGCATGCTGTGATCCGACACTCGTTTAGGCAGGCAACACGAAAGACGCACCTGAGCACTGCCCGTGCCTGACCTCCCTGCCACTTGCATCTCTGCTATCGCCAGCTTCATGCTCTGTACCAGCATGCTGTGATCTGACACCCCTCCCTTGTCCGAATCCAGCCTCAGTCCTGCACCTTCCGCTGTACCCGTGCTTGCTACCTCCCCCGCGCCTGCTGCTGCTCCTCCTGTTGCTGCTGCACCTGCTGCTGCTGAGCCGCCTGCTGCTGCTGCTGCAGCTGCAGAGTGCTGGCGAGAAAGAGAGCAGATGGCAGCTGCAATGACATTGAAGAGGTTGGTCTTGTGGTGCTGGGGGAGCTGAGGGGGGGACCACCACAGGCTGGTGCTCTGAGGGTGGGGAGGAAGGGTGTTGTAAGGGGGAAGGGTGTAAAAATGGAGTGGATGTGACCAGGGGAATGGGTGAAGAAAGAAATGGGTTCAGGGACGCAAACAAAAACGGTCAGAAGCACGGCAAGAGCCCTCAGAAATGTAGGGATGTGCACAGGAATGGCCAGAACTGAAGTCAGAGGCGCACATCATAGGCATGAAACTGCCTGATATTTCGCTTCTGCACTGGTCCAGCACTCTCTTACCTGGCCGGACTGCAGCAACTCTGAACAGAAGAGCAGAACGAGCTTGGGGTTTCTGCGTGCAAAGCAGGCACGCAACAGGAACAGGTGAGAGGGAGGGATACTTGGCGGATGCATGAGCAAAAAACGAACAGATGGAAGATGAGGAGGAGAGAGCGCTTTTGAGCTGACTCAAAAGCAAAAAATACGAACAGATGGAAGATGAGGAGGAGACAAAAGAGGAGATGTCGGGTGTCAGGAAGGGTTAGGACGAGGGAGATTACACTGCAGCGATGGACTTGAGTGCGTCCACGGTTGCTTGCTGAACCTCCGGCGAGCCATCCGCCAGAGAGGACGTGAGGTCCGACAGCTCCGTGTCTGCTTGCAAGCAATCATAGGAGATTCAACGGATTTGGCGTTTGGGTTGGGTTGCGATCACCGATGCATGACCGGAATATCGAGCTGACTTTTGAGTCGACTCAAAAGTCTGTATGACCAGAATATCAGCGAGAGTGTGAGGGTCCGACATTCGGTGTCTGTATTACAATGATCCATAGCCTCGAACTTGACGAAAGACTGAAGCAGGGTGAAGAAAAAGAAGAATCAAGCTAGACCACTCCGGTTTATACGCTGACTAGCACCACCGAGCTCGAATTCAGTAGCGACTGATCAACTGAAGGTCGTGGATCGCGATCAGGAGATCGTACATGTTGTTAGTGAGGCCTTCATCTTCGCTGGCGTCTATCACAGCGACGTTTTCAGACTTGCTGATCGCTGATGATTACCCAGCAACCTTCGAGGCGTTCGCACGCTATCATTGAGCTCGCTGCTTGCAAGCGTACAGACGTCACGAGAAACACTCGAAATTCAGTTCGCCGAATCTGATAATTTCGAAAATGGACTTCACCAGCGTTCTAGCCAGGCTCGGAAGTTCACGAATTCGAATTGATTGCTCTCCTTAGCTATCTAAGACTGATCGCCAGCCAATATCTGGCTTCTACATGAAACGAGGATCTCATCAATCCATGTTCTACTGAGGTGGACACCATTAGTTGCATTCAGTGACGCCATAGATTTCGTTTTACCTATCACTCCCAGCAGCAATGACAAGTTTCTCAAATGCTGCTGTAGCCTTTCCTCGGAGTGCATGAAGCGGGGGTTCGAAATTTCTGACATCGTTGGCCCCGCTAATGCCACAATGTTTAAAATGAATCGTTCAATACACGATAAACTGTAGAGCGCGAGATCTATTCCCATTTTCCCCATTTTTAGATTTCCACGTGGAAGCAACTGAGCCACTCCTTCGCATCTGCAACCCGAACACGCGGAAACCCATCAAGCCCCACCACGTCACTCAGCTCGTTAGAAGAACACTCGACACCCCTTCCCTCGACTGCAGGCACAGGTCCACTGCTGGAATTCCCAAGGCAAACATTTCCCAGTGCCTGATGCCAAATTCGGCATTCCCAAGGTTGGTTCCTGTGAATTTGATAGTGGTCACTTGTCACTCCAGCAAATCAAGTCCAGCCATCTTCAGATTCTAGTATCCGCTAGTGCACTTACAGCAAACGGTTGCTGTGATCACAAACGCAGCTTCCCAGGTTCTCCTGTCGCCGCGTATTCAGTGTGGTTCCCAACTATGGAGACGCTTACTGTCCCTTCCATGTCAATTTCAGTGAAGCCGATTCGAGGCGCTCCAATCGGCGTCAAGAGCCTTTCAGTAAGTTCGAAGTCGATCGTTGTCAGAAACCAGCAGCGCAAAGTACGCCATTCTATATCATACATCCTGGTTTCTTACCCGGAAAGACTTGGAGGCCTTGCTGTAAGTTCCACGTCACCATTGTCGTTAAGAAGCAGCGAAGTTCTGGCACCTCCTAAATGTTTTCCTGTCCTGTTCATGGTACTAAGGCAAAACCACTAAAAGCGCACGCATTCTCTAAACTGACACATTCCGTGGAAAATGTAAGCACCGTCAGCTTACAATGCTACACGCGGCTAACGGACCCTATCGCATCTCTCCTGATACTTCCAGGGCCAGCGTGTGACACTACCGTCAGCCACGTCACTCAAGCTCCAAACCATGTCATCCAAGCTCCCCCTGCGAACTCGCGCGGCCGCTGCATCAGGCGGCGCTAGCAGCGGCGCAAGCAGCAGCACGGTAGCGCCAGCGGAAGTACCGCGGGTGAAGCTGGGGAGGACGGACGTGGAGGTGCCGGTCATCGGTGTGGGTGCGTGGGCGTGGGGCGACAAGTTCTTCTGGAACGACGGCGAGTGGAACGGTGAGCTTGGTCTCTGCTTTACACACATATATGACCGTGGGTGCGAGGGTGCGTGGGTGCATGGGTTCGTGGGTGCGTGGGCGTGGAACGATAAGTTCTTCTGAATCGACGGCGAGTGGAACGGTGAGCCTGTCATCGTCGACTGCGGCATCTAACTACGCATTTGATCATGAGGTGCACACACACAGTTGATCACAAGCTTCAACCACTGCCATGTATCAGCGCCCGTTTGTACGGGACTCATGCTGAGCCTTGAGGGTACCTCTGAGCAACACTGTCTCCTCGTTACTCGTGGCTCCTCTTTACCCTTGGCTCTCTTTGGCTCCTCAGAACGCAACGTGCGCGATGCGAAGCAGGCATTCGACTCGGCCATGGACGCTGGGCTCAACTTCATTGACACTGCCGAGGTCTACGGGACCAAACAGGTGCACACATGTTCGCAAAATCCACTGCCTCATTTTCTCTAACCTCCTTTTGTTAAACACACGGCATCTGTCTAGCTGCGTGTCCTACTTAGTGCGATGCCTTTTTTAAAGCTGCTGCCTTCTCCTTCTGTTCCTTCGCAGTTTGGTGCTGACGACTCAGAGTCACTACTTGGCAGGTACTAACCCATTCGCGCTCCGCTTTCCTTTCCCTTGCTCTTTCCCTGCCGCTCTCCTCTAACCCCCATACCCTATTGTTTCTGCCGCCCCTGGAACGCGTCTCTCTGTCCCCCTCTGCTCTCCCATGCAGGTTCATTAAGGAACGAGCAGCCAAGAGCAAGGCAGGGGATTCGACACCCATTGTTGCGACAAAGTTTGCCGCCCTGCCCTGGCGTTTTGGGCGGGAATCTGTGGTAACCGCAGTGAAGGATTCTCTGAGACGCCTGCAGCTTGACTGCGTTGACCTGTACCAGCTGCACTGGTGAGTTGATAGAACTGCAATAATCGTGGAACTGCTTTACATCTTCCTTCGTTTTTCAATCCCATGGCTCCTCTATCACTCCCTCCAGGCCAGGCGTGTGAATCACATTGACGGCCTGGCAGACAGCGTGGAGAAGGGATCGAGCTGACTATGTGTCTGCTGATGCTCCCTTCTGACTCTGCGTGTCTCCCCTTGTACTCTTTTCAGGCCTGGCGTGTGGGGCAACGAGGGCTACATCGACGGCTTGGCAGACTGTGTGGACAAGGGACTAGTGAAGGCAGTAGGGGTCTCCAATTACAAGTGTGAGACCATAGTCCCAGTGGAAATTTTATGCTTTCACTCCACTCCACCTCTCTTCTGATCCGTTATACGATAGTGGAGGCAGTAGGGTTCCCCACATACTATAAAACACACATGCAACCGTCCTTCCATGTTCCCCCCTTCCCCCCCACCTTCGCCCACCATTTCCTCTGCTTTCTTCCTCCGGTGGATCGCCTGCAGCAGGCGCATCAGCAGCTAGCCAGGCATTGTCCCTGGCCACCAAAACCCCCCATTCCCCCCCCCCTCACTTCTTTCCCCCTCCCCCCCTCCCTCCCCTCCGTCCCCCCTTCTGGTTTTTTCCTGTGGATCGCCTGCAGCTGGCCAAGTGAGGCATGCCACAACCTTCCCCTCTCCCTCCCTGTCGCCTCTCCCTGCCCACCCCTCTCTCCCTCCTCCAGTGGATCGCCTTCAGCTGGCGCACCAGCAACTCGCCAAGCCTTGCATTAAGTATGCTCACATGTCTTTTCCCTTCACCGTGCCACACTCCCTTACACCCCTCCTCCAGTGGATCGCCTGCAGCAGGCGCACCAGCAGCTGGCGAAGAGAGGGGTGCCCCTTGCCTCCAACCAGGTGACCCTGCCGTCCTCGTTATAAGCTGCCTGGATACACAAATGTGTAGCTTCTTTTGCATTTTGACCTGACTGTCAACCTTAGTTTTTCTTGCTGATGGCTGTAGAGGAGGGTTCCACGGGGTCATACTCTGGTAGGTCCTAGGGATGATAGAGGCATGATGTGGATTCCACAGGGTTTCCTGCTGCTTCTTAGCCCGTCTGTTTTCGCGTTTTTTTTCTTTTGTTTCTCAGGTGTAGCTCTTAGTGCATCATCCTTTGTGTCATATCACCATGCCCCCAATACACCCCGAACCCACCATACCCACCATAACCCCCACATCTCCTATTCCCCCCATACCCACCATACCCTCCATACTCCCCATTCCCCTCACACACTCCGTACCCCCATAACCCCCATAATCCCCGCACCCCTTTAACCCCCATACCCCCCATAATCCCTGTACCCCTTCTACCTTCCATACCCCCCCGTGCTCTCTACAGGTCCACTACAACATCTTGTATCGAGTCCCTGAGAGCAACGGTGTGAAGAAGGCGTGTGAGGACCTTGGAGTCACTCTCATTGCCTACAGCCCCCTCTCCCAAGGTCCGTCATTCGTTGGGTTACTAAAACACAGACTCGTTACATGCGGGCCTTATATTGAAGAGGCGTTTGCTGCTGGGGTGGGGAGGCCGTGTGAAGAAGATGTGTGAGGATCGGGGAGTCACTCTCATCGAAAACTCAGAATTCTGGCTTCTCTACTAAGCCTGCCACCAGCTTAAAACCCCAGGCTCCTCTGTTGCTGCTGTTCAGATCGATGGAACTCACTTGCTGGCACCAAACCTCCACGCCCCCTTGATTAAGTAGTCTAGTTTTGATACGTCTCAAAACTAAACCCTGGCTCCTCTGTTTTTGTTTTTCAGTTGATGGAACTCCCTCGCTGGCACCAAACCTCCACGCCCCCTTTGCTCCCTCCAGGTGTCCTCAGTGGCAAGTACTCTCCCCAGAAGCCCCCCACGGGTCGCTGCGCCAGCTCCTCCCTGTCAATTCCAAGAGAGAAAGCACATCCCCCTTTGCTCCCTCCAGGTGTCCTCAGTGGCAAGTACTCTCCCCAGAAGCCCCCCACGGGTCGCTGCGCCAGCTCCTCCCTGTCAATTCCAAGAGAGAAAGCACATCCCCCTTTGCTCCCTCCAGGTGTCCTCAGTGGCAAGTACTCTCCCCAGAAGCCCCCCACGGGTCCCCGTGCCAACTCTTACTCGCCTGACTTTATCCGAAAGGTGCCAGCCCTTGAGCTTGGTGATGGTGGCAGGGGAGGGGAGCTGGGTTCTCGTGCTAGCATGTGTTGTTTCAATGTTTCAGTTGCCTCTTACATGTGCTGGTATCTGCAAGGTATTTCAAACCAAACCAGACCAAACCCAAACCCACACCAAACCCTGAACCATTGTAATGTTTCACTTCCAAATCCTCCTTCTCTGCCCCTCTTTCCGCCCCGCACCTATGACGTCAGGCCCAGCCTCTTCTTAAACGTATGGCAGAGCTGGGGGAGAAGTACGGCGGGCGAACCAAAACACAGGTGAGAGAGTTTTCAGAGGTCTCAAAACAGGTGAGAGAACGAAGCACAGGGCACCACGTATGCCACTCATATGACGCACATAGGTCTCCAGCCACTGTCTAGGGCATTAAGCCTTGATCCACAGCTTGTGACACTCAGTTATGAGCACAAAATACAGCCTCCTCTGTCAATGCTCTGTGTTTTGACATTCTCAATAGCAGCTGCCGCCAGAATTTTCGGACCTCTCCTTGTTTGATCCGTCCACACATGTCATTCTTGAGTTCAGTTTAATAGCACCCTGTTGCGGACATCACCTTTCTTTCTGGAGGAACAAAACTGTGTGTCCAAGGCAACACCGGTTCATGACTTTTCATCGCTGTATGCCCCCCACGTTTCTGTGTGTCACCGGCTTTCCAGGTGGCACTGAACTGGCTTATTGTGCAGGGCAACATTGTTCCCATCCCAGGGGCGAAGAACAGAGCA